GTTCAAATTTGTAATTCCCTATGCTGTTGGAACAAGACTGTGATTAAACAAGACGATCTACATACAGACTGTGCTGCCACTCCATAAAGAAGTTACAACATCTTGTTAAGTAGATGTTCAGTAGATTAAAACAAGCTATTTAATTTCCAAGCCAAATTTTTTTCAATTCTGTAACAGATGGTCGCTATTTTGGGGTTAAAATACTCTAATTTTGCACCACCTCAGTTAATGAAGAATAATACCAATTACTACCAAGATACAAGAAAGCTTTACATATGTGCTATTAGTATAGCCATCTCAAATTGTTCCACACAGAGCAGTCAGACACCATACATAGAATGAAATCCAACTCTTAAACTGTGATTCAGTTACGAGCTACTTCCATTTATTATTGTATCTTTTCTTGCCCTGCTATTAACTTGCTAAGCAAATACAGACAAAAGTTGAACATTAACTTGCCTATCTCCTCAAAACAAAATACATTTGGACGTGGAAATGCCACCCAATGTAACTTCCAGTACCAGATGTTAACAGATGAAAACCTGATGGCACCAGGGACGTTGGGTAAGCCCAGTATTATTCTCCTCTGTTGCAGCTCTGTCAAGAATTATTCAGAACTGACCTCACCATCTCACCTTTCCCCCTGCCCAGAAATGCTAGACAGAGCTTCAGGAAAAGACACAGAATTAGAGAACTACTCTCTAACATTTATATTTGAACCCTGGGAGCCAGCACAGCCCCCCTGAAACGTAACATTACCTGAGGCAGGCCCCTTTTCTTTGCCCTTGAAGAGACTTTGTTGGGGTCGGCCTGTAGCATTCTTCCATATTCCTCACAGTGCTCCTTGTCCTCTGCCCAGGCATAGCCCTCTCGGAGAGACCAGTCCACACCCATCTCCAGCGCCTCTTCCAAATCCCTGCAATCATCAACACATAAGATGATTATCCTTGGATATACTCAAAACTCCACTGGATATGGCCTTAAGCAACTTGATGCCTTTTTTTGTTAGCCCTACCTTTACATTTAGATCCTTCCCATAAGGAGTTGGATAAGATGACCTCAAAAGATCCCATCCAACCTAAATTATTCTATTATGCTATAATCAGCCCCCAACTCTCCTAACAACAACTCCAGCTTTTTAATACTTCATGAAAATCAAGCTCTACAAATATATTAACTTTTGGTACATCATCATTTTTTCCTCTTTGCTGGCTGGAAAACATCCTATTTTCTATCTATAATCCTATTTCTCATCTGTTTCAAAAAAGACCTTTATGTTAATAGAAGTTTTCAGAAGAAATGAGAACCCAGCAAGAACCTTTAAGGGGTTTAAATGGGGGAAGAAAGAGCTGACTGTGCCTTGATGATTATGTCAGTCCAGGTAATGGCACATATGCAGAAAGAACAGAAAGCACTTTAGAATTACTTTTCCTTTCTTAAGTCTCCCACTGGCAAATCTTGCATCAAAAAAACAGAGATGTCCTCTCTAGTGATGTGTGCACAAAGTCATTCTCTTACTTGGCATTCATGGGGATGACACCTTTGGAGCCGACACCAACAGGAATATGGTCAAACATAGCCTGGGCGAGCTGCTCTTTCACAGGCTGCACATCACTTTCATCCAGATTTGTCCGCAGCAAGCGGACACCACAGTTGATGTCAAAGCCAACACCACCTACAAGTGGAGAAAAAGCCATGTCAGGGAGCATGTACTGAAGGCTGTAATCTCACTCCTTTTCCTGTGACAATACTGGAGAAGAAAAAGTAGAACTGCATTAAGCTTCATTTTAACAGATCTACATGAAGCCTCAGACTTCAAGACACAGCTGTAGGACTGCCTACAGAGCTCTCCATTTACAAAGTTACTCCAGCAAGCTGACAAAGAGAAATGGACACAATTATAAAACATGTTGCCCATAGTAAGGAGAGAGAATGTTCCTGTTCTGCTGCCTAAGGTCAGAAGAAAAGTGACTGATCTTAGAATTGGCTCCCTGATATAAAATGTTCTTGAAAGCAACTGCATAAAGTAAATTCTTTTTTGAATCTCACTGGAATAAATAATAAATACTTGTAAAAAGTAATAAATACTTACAGGGAATACTAAACTTCAGTTCTTGGTGTTTTGCTTAACTCTTACTATTAATAACAATAAATTCTATAAGACAACACCAAATGTGAAAGATAACCATACCACCTTCAGTATGAAGGTTCTGGTATTACTAATGTTAGAGGAGAGATACCAAACTAAGAGACCTCGGGTCTGAGTCAATCAGGAACACTTGAACTGATCAAAGCAAAACTGAAACATGAGTATCATCATTCATGACAACCACACAAGCTTCAGACTGTCAGTAACCAAAGATCTAAGTGTTTACTAAAAAGACAGACATACTGTATGGTCACGTTTTAAGCACAGAAATATCCTCAAAAGATGTTTTCAAACTACTCAAAGGAACCAGTCAGTTCTTTATCAATCTGATGAAACCCCAAGGTCAAAGACTTCAAAACTAAGGGATATCACAAGTCCAAGCTCCAAACTCAAGGGCAATTCTTCCTGTACTGTTTAGCTAGCTGTTCTCAGTGTAACTACCTGCTTCATAAAGAATAAAGTATCTAAGTGCAAGAATTAAGCACTCCTTAACTCCCTATAATTATCATATTTTTTGCTTTGTTTCTGAATGCAAAGTACTGTAAAGTCCTGTCATTTTGAAACGTATTTCTCAAAGGTATTTCTCAAAGCAGGTTGAGTCAGTCATCCTTACCTGGTGAAACCACTGCCTCAGGATCACTCATATCAAAGGCAGCCATGTTTCCAATAGCAAATCCATAGCCAGAATGGACATCTGGAAGGCCTATTGATCTCTGAAAAGCAATTTTAAAGCTTTATGAAACTCAATGCTGCAGAGTCGCCTTGGTTATACTTTGCCTTGTGGCAGTGGTAGTCACATTTGTGAACAAATATACCAAAAAGGGAATGGATGTTAAGATGTAGGTGAACACATTAACTCAGGTGAGGATCTAATCTCCTGCACTTACAGGACTGTCAAAAAAACCAGAGAGCAGATCTCTGAAACAAACACCCTGTGACACCCAGAAACTAGAACTTTTCAGTATCTATTAAAGTGCTACCACACACTGAAGGGAACTGTACTTTTGAATGTGATTCTTTGCTTCTTCTGCCTCTCCTTACCATCACCAAGGAATCCTTCTTCATTTGGAGTTAAAAAGTAAACATCTGAATATGTAGATGATTGTAACATCTCTTCTACAAACTACCAGCCAAAATTCCCATTTTAGAAGGTTGTTACTGTTCTACCTTACTCCATTTTGGCCTGATCCCTAAGGCATTTAACAGCATTATGGTCTGCCTTTTCCTGCATCCATAAATTCAAAACTTCTGCCAAAAGAGACAAGTAAAAAAATTCTGTTATTTGTTACTTATTAATATATGCAATATTGAATGTGAAAAGGAATATTTCCACATTGTACTTTGCACTTCTTGAAAAGAGTCACAGGTAAGCATTTTCCTCCTGCATCATTATATCTGTTGCTTTGCTTCCAAAAAGGCACAGGATGAGGGCAGGCACAGTGTTGAATGCATATGAAGGCTCACTATTCACGAGGCCCGTAACAATAGTACAGAAAACAGTACCACCTCCTGCTCTCTCCACACTTCTCCGTGTATTCCAGAGCAGAGGCAATTCAAAACCAACAAGCAGTTTGCATGAACAGTGGGGAAAGGTGGCTCAAGAAGGTAGTTGAAACAGCATGAAAAGCTCTATGTCAAAAGCCAAGCAATGAAATAAGTGGCTACCTCCCTCTCTGACAACTTTGTTTTGCAGCCTGCCATTGCAAACACTCCTTACCAAGGCACACACACTGCCTTGAGAAGAACTTTGGTCCACACCACTTCTCATGAGAGAGTTTCCATTTGGAATGCAATAATCTCAGGCAAATGGGAACAGAAAAAGATCAGATTTTTACAGCACACACTCACGTGAACAATACCAGGCAATGCAGCCACATTCCCAATCTGTTTCATAGCAGGTAAGAAGCCACCCGCACCTGAAAAAGATTTTTTTAAAAAAGTAATCTGATAATTTACCATAATAATCACAATGAAACACATTCTAAAGAGACTGTTTAAAACTCTGGCAAAAAAGAAGTTGGCCACCAACAAGACTTCTAGTCGAGTATAAAGAGCACGGCGCGGTGTCCCGCGGCCCACCCGCCGGGCCTGCCCCGCTGCCTGCTGCGCTCTGGGCAGCCGGGAGAGACGTGCGGGCCGACGGGACACGAGGACAGCTTTAAGTAGAGCCAAGAGAGGTTTAGGTTGGATATTAGGAGGAATTTCTTCGCGAAAAGGGTGATTACACATTGGAATGAGCTGCCTGGGGAGGAAGCGGAGTCAGCGTCCCTGGAAGCGTTCAGGGAGAGGATGGACGGAGCATTAAGTGGCATGGCGGTGTTCGGTCACAGCTGGAGTCGATGATCTCAGGGATCTTTTCCAAACCGCCTGGTTCTGTGTCACCCCCGGGGTGTCCGCTCCCCGCCGGACCCACCTCCGCCGCGGCAGGCGTTGCGCAGCTCCTCGAACATCAGCTTCTCCAGCGGGTCGTTCACGTAGAAAACGCCCTCCACCTGCGGGGAGAGCAGTCAGCCGCCCGGCTCCGCTCGGACCCCGCGCCCCTTTCCCCGACCCGGGCACCCCGGCCCCCTCCCACGCACACGCATGTTCGGCACGAAGCCCTTCTTGATCCGCCAGCAGTTCTTGTCGATCTTGTCCAGGTACTGCAGCTCATCGTTGTAGCTGCGGCTCATGGCGGCGGCGCTCCGGCTCGGCGGATCCCCGCGGCAGCGCCGGCCGGCGGCAGGAACTGACGCGGGCCCGCGGCGGCAGCAGCGCACAGGAGCCGCCGAGGCTCAAACCTCCTCCCTCAGCCCTGCCCCCTGCCGCCTCCGTCTGTCCGTCCGTCCGTCCGTCCCTCCCGTGCCGAGGGCTGACCCGGCCCGGGCCGGGCCCGTCTCCCGCGGTGCTGCGGCGGCCCGCGGCAGGCACCCGGTACCGCGGGCCGGGGTGTGCGAGGGAGCGCAGGGGGCTGGGTTGTACTGGCTGCCTCCCCCTCACACCGCGTACGGCTTCTGGGCTAGTCTGTGGGGAAAACCCCGAGTATTTTTTTCCAAGGGCCTGTGCGTGCTGACCTCTGGGGCAGAGTAGCTTTTCCCCTGGGGTATTTAGGCGGGACAGGCAAAAGCTGCCCGCACCCCATCGCTGATGTTTTCTCGGCTGAAGGAAACGTGTTGGGGAGGCCAGAGCCGGCTCCCCGTCCGGGTTTGGCCGAAGCACAAGCACCTATGCACTGTAGGGCTGGCATGGCCCTCTGCAGAACTGTGGTCACATTTGCACGCTAATAAAGTACGGGGAAGAAAGGAGGAGAAAGAAAGAGGTTAGGATAACATACTCAGAGGAAGTAAGAAAAGTATCTAACCTTCAATTCAGACAAAGACGTCAGAAAATTAGCTTTAGAGGACTTAACGAGAAACACTGAAGGAGTTCAATGTATCTAACCTGGCTAAACAGCACAAAACAGGCACAAGGATTTGAAGAGTCACAGGGAGAGATGGAGAGTAGTAGTGCCATTGGCTCAGGTCCTGTTCTGCATCCTCTGTTAAGGCACTGCAAAGATTTTAGTTCCCATTGTAACTGGGCAGTTGTCAGTCTGACAGTTCCACAGTTCTGGAGAGGGTTCACTCCCTACTTCATGCATGGGGTGCAGAAGGGAAGTGTTTAAACTTGTTACAGTAGAAACATATTAGCAGCTGTATCTGCCCTAGCGGCATTTTGACAATGTACTTTCCCTAATTTTAAGAGATTGCAGAATCCTTCTGGAAGCGTGTAGACAAAATTGTATTTCAAAAGAGTCATTAATCTCAGACACTTTTGCATTAGTTATACTATAGAATAAATAAATGTCAGGCATGTGTTACATGTTCTCTTTTGGGTCTGCTTGTTACCATTACACCAGCTAATCATTTAATCAACTATTTTTGATTTTTGATTTTTTCCTAGCACCCCTTCTTGCCCCCTACCAGGACAGGGGTTGTCAGAGCTCAAGTTAAACATTTCAGCAGAACTGGACGGTGTTTAGTCTTCAGAGTCACATCATTGACTTGATTTGAAGTTCATTCTTATCAAGTGGCCTCTCTTCTCCTTTAATGTTTGTAGTGGCATCAGTCAAAATCAACACATCCCTGTGAGGAGAACAGTCATGGACATACTATGAATTAAAATGAGCATTTTATTTTGGGGTTTCTTAATTTCAATTTGATCCTAGTGTTTAAGGTCCAAAAATCTACTGAGAAGAGCTGAGCCTTGGCAGTAACAAGTTTTATTCAACTCTGTCCTTTGAACTTTGCAAAAGGGGTCCATCTTTTCCTGGGTGCTATCCCTTTGTACCACGTCAGTGACAGAAGGGAATCTAAAAATCATACAGCCTACTCAGAAAGGTTCATCTGAGCCTTGAGGCAACTAGGCAAGCATCACAAGGTGGGATTATTTTTTACCTAATTTGCGCCACTTAAGAATTAGCCATATAATCTAAACTTGTCCTTAAAGCTTCCCCCTCTGTCAGCACATACAGAGCAATGAGCCTGCAGAGAGCAGTTCATCACAGTCATAAATCACAGAATGGGTGGGGCTGGAAGTGACTTTAAAGACCATCCAGTTCCAACCCTCCTGCCATGGGCAGGGACACCTTCCACTAGATCAGGTTGCTCAAAGCACCATCCAGCCTGTCTTTGAAAAGTAAGAATTGTTTTTCTTCTTATTGACCACAGCCATCCGACTGGGACTGGAAGCGGAAACTCTAGAACTAGAGCCTAGCCTCTAACCTTTAAGTGGGAATCTTACTCATTTTGGTAGGGCATAGCAATTCTGTGTTGTCTCTCATTCCTTGTTACTGATGAGGAGACTGGTTAGAGAACGTGAGGGGGGAATGGGCACTGCAGAATCACTAAAATCCTTCATTCACTATTAGTCTGTAAGACTCTTGGCAATGGGTGCCACTGAAAGCAGTCTCCGAGCAATTATAGCTTGTAGTGAACCAGGTATGTGGGAGGCAAAGAACAATTTAAAACCACATTTGCATTTCATTTCCTGAGTTGTGTTTTGTGCTTAACCACTAACAAAGATTTAGGAGTCTCTGCAAAGAAAAACTTAAAAAAAAAAAAAGAAAAAAGAAAAAAAGAAAATAACTTTGAGAAGTTGTTAAACAAGTAGAGAAATACAGAAGATTTACTCATTTTCTGGGCATTAATTTGTCAGCAATGCCTTTGTACTGACTGGTTACCTAGCAACATTCTGTATGCTCAAACTAAGGGCTAGTTTTGGAGAAGGATAACCAGAAGGCAAAAAAATATTTTCTGACAGTTCTCACTAACTACTTTTGACTACTAGCCTCAGCCATTAACAGCAGTTATTAATAAAATCTGGGCATCCTATGTGCACAAAACTGAATTCTCCTCCCTCTCATATTCCAAGTATTCAACAAGACTGTGAGATAGCAGTAACTCTAATTTGATGTGATTGGCCAAACTTGAACAATATGTCAAACCTGTTGTTACACTGAATTGAAACTTGCAAGGCTGAAAAAATTGTACATTTGATCACTTCATAATTATATATTCAGTTCTAACTTTTCCTCTCAAAGAAATATACATTTGTTTCTAATAGAATTTTACCATTATTAGAGATCTCATTTTAAACACCTTTTTACTAGTTAAGTAGATCAAATACAGCAAATTTCTGGCACTATAGAAGGTGAATAAATACCTTGTAAAAACAAAAAAAAAAAAAAGGAAAAATAGAGATAACCTTTCATAAAGGAAAATCTTTCATAAGTATCAAAATCTCACCTGTACAATTGTAATGTGAGGTCTTGTCAAGGTAACATTGGCCAGATTGGGAAGAGGGAATCCTTTTGACAGTTTAGCTTTAAAAAAGAGACAAACAATGATTTAGGTATGCATTAGAAAGATAATAAACACTTGCCCTTCAACAACAATGTTTATCCAGAGACTTGTAGGTAATTTATAACAATTAGCCTCTTAGTTTTCACAAGCAAGCCTGGGAGGTTGCTAAGATGCTCATTTACCAATAGGAAAAAAGAATTACAAGTGCTTCTCTCTTGGCAGAGTGTTGCAGCCAAACCAAGGATTTTGTGTTCAACACATTACATACTGAGTAATTTGTCCCTAATGATCCCTGAGGGATTGTTAATACAGCTCTACCATCATTAGAACCTGTTCCCATTTGTATCCATTAGCTGAAGAAGATTATGTTCATCCCAGTATAGGGCTGACACAAAGCTGTATCTCCCTCCAGGGCCTCAAATAAGATTTATGAGAGGCAAAAACTGTTCTGGTCTAATAAAAAGGAATATATTTCACATATAGTGGTCTCAAGCAGGTGTGCAGATGAGAGATTTTGTTTTTCTCCCTGATGCATCAGGACCACCTAGACTGAGATGAAGGCAGATGAATTTTTACTTTCCTAGTAATTTTTGCACTTTTTGCAGAACAGTGAGAGGGAGCACTTACACCCCTACAATCTTTGCCTTCCACTGCTTACTGGCTGATGGTCATTTTCCATTCCAAGTTAATGGGAGCTGACAATCAGAAAGTCAGTAGAAGTTCCTAGAATAACCCATTCTGCTGGAAGCTTTTTGGCTGATACTTTGAAATACAGCCTTACCATTAGCTGATGGAATTACTTCAGTCTGTAAAATGTAAGATAGGATGTTCTCCAGAAGCAAGAGCTGCCACAGACAAGAAAACTGAGTTAGCCATCATTTCCTGATGGTGGTAGAGTGTCATTCCCTAATCCTGGGTGGAGTTAGTAGGCTCTTAGTCAACTTCCAGTTCTCTTTTGGCTTCAACAAGTCATAAGCTCAAGTGAACTTCAGATCTTAAGGTTTTGGAATGATGCAAAGGAAGTGAGATGCAAAATGCAAATGCATTTCATTATCGTTGGCCAACATTTTAATTTAAAACAGTCTATTTGCTTTATTTATGAGATCATTTATCACCAATAGGAAAGCAGGACCAGAACAGTTCTAATCCTTTCTCCTCAGCTACTCAGAATGGATTGATTATACTGAGAATGAAATTACTCTCTGTGGGGACAGGGTTTTCCCCTGCAAGGCTACAACTGCACTATTTCAGGCATCTGAGGGAAATACCTTGACTCTCCGTCCTTGCCAGAATTCTGAGCGCCTTGAGGAGCACCCACGGAGTGCCTGTGCCTCAACCATCCCTGTGACCCTTGGATGGCGCTCTGCTCTGCTGCTACAGTCACCTCGGCTCTGTTTCACTTGATGATTCGAGAGATCTCTGCTAGCTGCAGCCAGGGCAACTACAGAATCTCATTTGCACAGCACTAGCTTACCCCAAAGAGTTCACTTTTAAGTCCAGAACGGAGAGGTGGCTGCCAGAAGACAGGAAGAGAGACGCTTGGGAATGAAGCCAAATGATTTAGAAATACAGATAAAATTTAGCTGCTTACTCTTTAGCCTTGATATCACTGATATTCTTGGTGTGCATTTTCTATATGCTTCAACTACCCACTTACCTCAAAAGAGCCAACATTGGAGTGGGCTGGGGAGAACTGGATCCTGAGGGAGAGGAGTGAAACAAGAGGAGTCACTATGAAAAGATAAACACAGTTATTCTAATAATGTACACTCATTGCTGTAGACCTTAAGAAGCTGTAAAGAGATTTTCTTTAAGCACTTTCACACACTGCATACTGCTATATGGAGAAAGATGTGGTTTTCTTGGAGCATTGCTGAGCATCCATGCAAGAGTGTGCTAGAAGGGCTGCAGCCAGCAATTTGAGTGCCACCTGGAAAGTGAAGAGTGAAACTCTCAGATGATTTATGGTCATCAAAACTGCCCTGCATGCTTAGTTTATCTAGCTCAGAGGGGAGAGTAGATGTAAAAAGAAGGGAAGTCCTGTTAGACCACTTCCCTGCAGCAGTCCACTGGTGAGAAGTCCCTTGGGACCATTGTACTTGTTAGAGAGAAGCTTCCTACCTCCTCTAAACTGTGCAAGTGCCACCAGATTAAGAGAAACTAATGCAGGTGAATTTACCAGCAAAAGAAATTTACAGTTATCTGGTCATATATCTAAACTACTAATATTGGGATTGCTAACATTGTTTTCCAACGGAAATCTTTTTCATCCCAGGTTGGATTACCTGTTCAAACATAGCAAGCCCATCAATTTCTGATCAAATATGTTCAGAGAAAGGCTGGTATTGGCTGCCTGCAGAATAAAGAAACCATGGATTACCAGACATAAAACCCCAGGATCCTCCCTGTGAATTAGTCACTAATACATAAATATCATCTTTCCAGTAATGCATGGAAGCTGTTTTAGGTAAATGCAGGTTTCTCATTACAAGGCTACACACAGTAAATGTCTGTTGATTTGGATGGCACTGACAAGAGCTGAAATGGGGGGTAATGAGACGTCATTAATCAAAGTCATGAACAAGATGCCAAGAGGCATGACTCATACTTGCAGAACTGTCATTCCAGAGAATAAAACCTTGCTTAATCAGAGCCTCTATATGTTGGGATTTTTGTCCATCTGTAAGAAAATGTTCTTTGCCGTAGAAGTGTCATATAGGTTAGTTGAGGTCATGCCTACACCTGTGACTAAGGGGAATCTGCATGTTTGTGTACGAGAAATTTGGCTTTTTTTTTGTTTCTTGTGCAGAGTTTTAAAAGGAAGGAAGAAAGATATTTAACCCTAAGTTAAATGTCAGCTTCTTTGTGCACTTACTATCTTCAGTGTAAACAGAGACTGGGTGGTTGAGTCTGGCAGAATGGCCAACACCTCCACGGAGTCCTGAATCTTTACTATGAAGGAATCCTGCTGTAAGCTGATGATAGGAATTTCAGTAGACATTAGCTTCAACATCTGGGTAGGGTGCAACTGAACATTTAGATACCTGTAAGATTCAAGGACAAAGAAAATGAAAAAACCATTTTTCTCATAGAGTGGATCAGTATACTTCATTTTCTCACTTTTGAAGCAATAATTTTGAAGTATTTCCTTATGAAGAGGTTAAGGATAGCTGCTAACATAAGATTCTTTCAAGTAAGCAGGAAATAAAGGAAATAAAGGAATGCAGTGAAAAGTTCCTTCCATTTGAGGAATACAAATTTTTTTTCATATTATTTCAAGAGAAATTAAACGCTTGAAATTAAATGAACAGAGGATATAAATGGACTCCGAATGTGGTATTTAGTCACACAATAAAAGAACTCAGGGGTCATTCACTTTGAAATTCACCCATCTCAGGAGATGGGTTCCTCCTCTGAACTGTCCTCAGAGGAACCTCACTCTGCTCATTGCCTGAAGAGTGAATATACAGATATAAAAATATATAACACAGTTCAATGTTCGAAACAGAGGGGGGTGGAATATTCACATTAATGCTCATGGCATTTTATGGAGAACATTTTACATGACTACCCTTGGAGAATTCTTATATTTCTGAGGAAGAAACTTAATAACATCTGAGAAACAAACAAGAACGTGAAGTACTTTGAACTGTTAGTCTGACTTTACCCATCCTCAGCATTATAGCCTAGGGGTTATTCTGCTCATTTTTGGTTTCTCATCGTGTCTCAGAAGGCTGGTGGAAGCCATGCATGCTCATATTCTCTGTCCTGTTATATTCATCTCCTTCACCTAAAATAAATGGAAATCCTGTGCATCTGCCTTGTCTGTTCCATAGGATGTAATGTTTCCTGACCATCTGTTAGCTCGTTTTCCTGCACATGGTCCCTTCCTAGGTTTTCTGCTCATCAGTCACAGGCCAGCAGCAAAGTAAAGAGAATTATGCAGGCTTGGGGAAGAGAAAGGCCATTTTTCTTTTCTGAGACTGCTCTTAGATGTCTCTCAAAGCAGAACTCATGACTGGAAGCTTTTTCCTGCATGGAGCTGATTTTACGTAGGAACAGCTGTGGCTTGGGCACAGTGCCTGGAGAAAAGATTGATGTGCAAGGTTATGGGCCAAGACTGTGTTTGGTATCAGTGCAAGTCATTCAACTCATCACGGGGTGGGAAGTGACAAGGCCCATCTGCTCTGCTGTTACAAGGTGCACATGTGCCCACTTCTCCAGTGCAGGAGCCCCTGGTCCTATAAGCCTTTGGCATACACCAGTAGTGAGGTGTCTTGACAGCCACACTGGGTGGCTTCCCTTAGACTTTGTGAAAGTAATGATACTCACCTCAGGGATGATACTGCTAAATATCTCTGTGTTTATATTAAAATAGCTGCAAGTCTGAAGGAAAAAATAAAAGACAAAACAAATGAGTTACCAGATTTGACCTTCATGGAAAGCTTTTCTCTAAATGCATTATTACAGTCACTTCAATGAATCTTTGATTTTTTTTGCCTCTCAGAAATATTCTCAGTACACTTGAAGCAGCTTCCCATTAATACATCCCACAAATAATCCTTCAGAAAGCAAATTCTTAATGTCATTATAGTTTGGGCTTCGGTCTCCAATGCTGTGCTTTGACATATGCTGTGCTTACAAGGCCCCTGTAGTACTTTCATTCTAAGAAGATCCCTCAGAAAACAGCCACTGAGGTTGAAAATTTCTCCAAAGTTGATCCCTTGTCCCTGTTAGAGCAGTCTGTGCCTCAGGTCGACAAACCCCTTATTATTTGTAACAACGTTGGCAGTATTTGGTTCTTGGCTCAGTGGAACTTGGCATGCCTGGCTGTGGCCTGAAGCATCTATATAGACCGCAAGGGAAAGAGAATAACAATACCCTGGTATTTATAATCTACTGTCTCAGGACTCTACAGACCAACTGAGAGCTTTCTATGGCCACATAATGACATCTGGCAGGTCAAAGCCCTAACTGAGCCATTCTGACCCCATTCCTCTGTGTCCTGCTCACCTCATCTGCAATGATCATGTTGAAGGCCCCTGCGGTGTAGTAAGCAAATGGGGAGGTCTGAAAGAAATACTCAGAGAAGGCAAGGTACAGCATGGAGTCCCTTTGGTCTGGGATTGTGAGGGAAGCTGCCACATAGGAAGAGTCAGTATAGTTTCAAGCTGGGAAGACTATGCCCTAAAAGTTATTGTCAGAGATAAAAAAAACCAAACAATAGAGTCAAAATATAACTTTACCATGATTGCAGACAATGAATGCTACTTTCCTTGACTTTGCCCCAGCTATTCATTTGGTATATAAATGAATATGAAGGCTTTATAGTAGTGTATGAAGGCTTGGTGCTGTCAAGCAGGTGATGAAGGCAAGTTCCAGCATTTGGACATGATGAGGCCCAAGATTTGTCTTTTGTGATACTGGTCACCTACCGAGGACAGTCTGCCACCTCAGATTGCCCTCTAAATTAATGATCTACATATTGCATAAAGAACGTGACTAGTGGTCCTCCTTTTTGAAAAGCCTTACTTTCTCCTTTCCTTATCTCCAGGAATTTAAATCTGAGAACTGCTGCTTAAGAACTAACCAATGGCCTTGATTACAAAATTGATCTGTAAAACCAGAGGTCTTTCTTGGTCGAAATCAGCACTGTATTCTGCCCAGAATCAAGTTGATAACTTGTGCAGACACAAGGCTTATGAGAGGGGAAAGTTTTGTCAGACAGACCTAAAATGCCTATGTTGTATTCTGCATTACCCACCATATTGGCCAAGCCTTGTAAATCTAATACTTCCAAATGCATCCAGATGATACAAAAAAGTAAAACTGACAGAAAGTGATGAAGACATTTAAAGGTTAAAGTTTTTTATGTCCATTTTATTAGTTCTGTCTCTGTTTAATCTCAAATGTATTTTGTCTCTCTTTATTTTCTCATTTAGCTCTGATTTTCCTGCTGCCTTTTAAGGACTATCAAAATGCTTACAAAGTGCTGAATCACAGTTGGTGACCTCTCCAATCAATCCTCACTTGCTGGATTTACCAGTCTTTGTATGTTTCCCCACTTATATTGGACAGTAACTCTTGGAACAGCCATGATTTTACATCTTTAGTCTGACTCAAGTCCCTGCTTAAAATCCAGCTGCAATAATACTCAGAAGAGTTTGACAGCGGTTGCAGGGCTGGTGTGCTAAGACCAGTGTCTACCACACAAGCAGACACTAAATTTTTGTTCCTTTTTGTTTTCACCTCTCTTATTTCCCTATTGTCCTTTTTTTTTACTACTTAATTTATAGGATCTTTGTGACAAGACTATCTTTTCATTTGGCCTTTGTAGAGCACCAAGCACAAGGCAGCTTAAACTTAATTAAGGATCTCAGACTCTATAATAATGACAACTACCCTCAATCAAATCACCTTATGCAGAATAACAGTGAAGTCATTTCAGAATCAGGAACTAGTCAGATTTTAGTTTCAGTACATAAAGAGATTTTTTTTCTTAATTTGAAATAAACTCTCAAGTCCTCAGACTCAGCAGCATTCCTTGGGCTCCCATGTTTTTGAGTCTTCTGCCTTCCCATTGAAGAAGCTAGGGGATTAATACTTGCTCTGATATTGTTGCTCTTTCTTCACCTCTCTCATCTGACATCAGACACATCTAGTTAGTCACATGTATAAAAATATTACTCTGACTGAATAATGAAGTCCCAGCTATTAATCAACAGTGAGAGAAAGATGAGGTTTAATAACTTTTTTCTTTCCTTTCCCTTTCTCTTTTCTTCTATCTTGCTTAGTGAACTTTAACTGCTCTCTACATTTTACAACCAACTCAGCAGCATTTTAAAGAAAAGGATGTGGCTTTTAAATAATTCATTTCACAACAGTATTGTTACAAATTATGACTGTAACAAATGCAATAATGCATTGAAATGTCTGTCTTCCAAGATAGTTAGCCTTTAGGTTCAGAGTAACAATCACAGTCATCTTATAAATGTGTCTCATAGAATAATGGACCCCACAGCAATGTAGGCAAACAGCACTACAGGCAAGTACCTTTAAGTCCAGGTCAATGAATGGTTGGAATACTGCTGGCAAGCCACTTAAGGAGTAGTCTACTTCAACCAAATCATCAATCTGCTTTGCAGCTGTAAGGGTGGTAGATAAGACACAGAATATTACAAAAAACCACAGAAATAATTTTATGTATGCTTAAAACTAAGTCAGTTTCTGAAAGAGAATGTCACAAATTATTCCAGAGAATAGGGAAAAAACACAACCAGGGACCTCCTAACATGCATTCTGACCTAAGATTTGATATTTCTATTAAGACTTTCTGTAAAGCACCTTCTCTAGTTTGTCTGTTGTTTTCTCACTGTGTAAAGTAAGTTGGGTCTAACCCAAAAAAGGAGATGGCCATATCATTGCCTCAGGGCATAAGGAGGTGTTGGGATTTCTTGTCAACAGTTTTAAGAGCATCCCAAGTACCTGTAACTTGCAAGTACAGGAAGGTGCCTGATCTACTTAGATACCTGTGTTTTGCACATGGTATCTGACCAGCACTTGGGGTGCCTTAAATGCATGCAAATCTAACCCAAAGTGGTTCAAGTGAGAAGGTTTTTGCAAAGGAGCTTTTTCATTTTGTCCCTGGCAAGTCTGATAAATAGGCAAGTAAAACTTAATTTCCAGGCAGGCTAGGAGAACAGGCTTCAGCTTGTAAAGTGCTGTGTGTGCAGGAGGACTTTGAGCATGGTACGGGAAAACTGCCTCAGCATCAGCACTGTGTGGCCTCAAAGCGGCATTTCTCACAACAGAAGGGCACACTGCCACATTTGCAAGTTGAGAATTGCTACCAAGTCCTTGGCTCTTAGAAACACATATTTTTTGCTCAAGTAGCCCAGCCTTTATTTTACTGCGGTTCTGTATGCAAGGGAGCAGATGGAGCAGAGGGATTCATATCACTCCTGGAGAAATTGCTAAGCAGCTAACGTTAAGGAAGCAGCAGAATTCCACTGATCGGAAGAGAGAAAACAGAAGGAAAAGGTACCACTAATGACTCACCATTCAGGGATCAGAGGTCTCCATCTATCAACTGGATCCCAGCTCTGCTGTTGGGACATGACTACAATAAAAGCACTCTCAAGTTACGGCCTGATTATCATGGCTGTATAAAGCACCTCTTCCATGTCAGATTTTCTGCTGTATGACGCACATTGCAGCATTTGTTTATCAAAACACCTAATCTGGCTTCTCTTCAGCTAACTGGATCCCCAGTGTTTCTGCTTGGTGCAGTGTAAGCATGTTGTATTTCACAGCTGCAAAAAAAAGAGGGAAGTTTCCAGAGGCAGCCTGGTGGGGGTGACAGAACCACAGCCTTAAATAGTGCAAGGACAAATCTTATACTGGCGTGGCAGGAGAGAGCTCAGAATCGTGGAGTCATTTAGGTTGGAAAAGACCCTTAAGATCAGCGAGTCCAACTGTAAATCCCTGGACAGAATGACAGCCATCTCAAGCTCCGTTTCCTCTCAGTGGCCCTGGGAGGCTGTCACCAGAACTACTCACCGCTTTGCTATGATGAAGCTGAAATGTCATACTATCCGTGGATATACTATAATTTCTCTCTGTGTCACTCAGTAGATGTTTTTTCTGCCTGGCATAAAAATGACCCAAGCCCCAGGATGCCCATATGTACACAGGCAGGGATTTATTCTGCATTGGAATGGAAAAATAACTGCATTTTCCATCCCCACTGCTGCCTTGGTTGAATGTATCTGTGTCAGTATCTTGGCTATGAACCTGTCACTTTATGTGGAATCATTTCTGCCTGGCAAAATGATGACTGTGCTGATCAGACCAGAATAGGACTATTACAGGATTATTTTTCTAATTCTTCCTTTGCCAAGTTCACAGCACTGACTTGTGAATGCTATCCTCCTTACACCCCTCCCCTACACAATGTGAAAGGCTTACATTAGTGACCAAGCTCCTGTGAATGGGTTTCTTCAGATACTTGATAAAGAAGTTATCCAGGAAGTTAGAGGGAAGGAAGAAGGCAATTAATGGGTCAAGTACTATGGTCATTAAGAGGAGATCAGATATTTCTGCAGAACATGAATTTAATGGCCTCTTAGTATGATATTCTAGTACACATGGGAGCTTTTTGAAATGTAAAAACTGTCACAGAGCCACCATTTAAAAAATGATAATTTCAACACTATGTATCTCAGTTTGGGTTAATTAATATTTATGAAAAATGGATTTCTTCATAGGACTGCCATCTTATATGTACAAAATAGTCTCTGCATTAGGAACTTCCAAAACAAGTAAAAACGAACAAAAGTTTGTTTGATGCCAAAACTTTGTTCCCTTTTAGGAAAGGAAATGAAATCTTGTGAAACAGAAAAGAAAGTCTCCTAAAGAGACTGGAAAGGAGATATGATCAAGTGAAATGCGATTGAGAAAATAAAAAAGGAAAATTGGGAAATGCAGTGACCACAAGAAAATGGTCTGGGAGCAAATGATCTGCAGTGGAAAGGAGCAAAAGATGCCAAAACTCATCTCAGAGATGCTGCAAAATCAGAGAGGACAAGAGACCACTGAGGGGAAGATATGAGTGAAATTGTGTATCTACTGAAAAAAGAAAAACCTTCACCAAAGTGAAATCTATCAAAAGGCATAGGATGCCATGAAGTGCAGGGCTATGGACCAAAGTTGCCAAACTGATCCCCATTGAAATCACAAGATTTTGTTTCCTTTCCTGAAAGGTAGAGGTGGGCAGGCTTCAGCAGGGTGAACCCTTGTGCATCACCAGAGTGTAACAGGGAAAGACAGATGAAAGGTAGGATCACCTTCTCTCTGGAGACAGCCTGAGAGAACAGGGGTTTTTTAGTCTAGAGAAGAAAAAGCTCCAGGAAGACCTTAGAGTGCCTTCCAGGTCTTAAAGGCAGCAACCAGAAAGCTGGAGATGGAATTTTTACAGGGTTTGTAGTGATAAGACAAACAGGAATGTATCTTCAGATTGGCAGAGGGGAGGTTCAGATGAAACATTAAGCAGAAATTCTTCATTGTAAGGATGGTGATGCTCTGGAACAGGTTTCCCAGAGAAGCTGTGGACATCTCATCCCTGAAGTGTTCAAGGCCAGGTTGTATGAGCCTTTGGGCACTCTGTTCTACTGACAGGTGCCCCTGCCCATGATAGGGGAGTTGGAACAAGATGATATTTAGGATCTCTTCCAACACAAACCATTCTATAATACAATCAGATTTTAATAATAAATTTCAGTTTTTATGTTTGGAAAGAGGCTGAGGACAACCCGGAGGCTTGGACCAGGTGGCCACCCAGTGTGCCCACCACAACTATTTGATCCCAGTGATTTGTCACAGCACTTCAAATCAATTTTCTAAGCTTGATTAGCAGCAGCATGATTTATTTTGTGTCGAATGTTATACACAAGCACCATCTAGAGGTTATAAAGGAGATGATAACTGTATTTGACTACAGCAACAGCTGACAGCTGTATTATAGGAGGAAAAAGTTTTAAGGTTCCCCATGACTCAAATACTGCTGCTGAAGTGGCATTAACCACTAGGGTTAATAGCTATAACAATTATTCTGACTTTTGTTGCCTCTGGGATTTGCATATTTTTGCCTGGCTCTTCTTGCTTTCCTTTCCCTCTCCCCCTTTCTTGATGACAGCAAGAGGATGAAGGGGAAAAAAGAAGAACCAATTAAACCAGAAAAATGCATCACCTGAATTTCAAAAGAAAAGACTGAAAACTCCATGCAGTCAGGACTATTCTTTAAATGGGGAAATCTTTAGAAGAAAATAACTGCTGATTACCCAGCAGCTTCAGGTATGTTTCTGATATAGAGCATTAGAGAGAAATAAGAGGACTCTCTTGTACTGCATCACTTGGCTGATGAGGATTAAACCTGCTTCACTGTACTGTAGACCCTGCAGCATGAAAACAGATCAGTTTCATTCAGAGAGCTTGTCTTCTCATATTCTATATGTATGGGTTCCTACCCACCCTATTACTGTGACAATGGAGTGACTATCAATAGGAACACCATTGGGAGCTATGAAAGTTCCTAAATGTTTGTCTCTAAGATTATTGTTTTAAAGATTGCAATATTTTATCTGAGTGTTTGGAGAGGGAAGGGTTGCTACAAGAAGCCTGGCAGTTTTCCTATTGGGAAACACATCTAAAATTAGCTCTGATACTGCTTGGTTGTTTTATAAAAGCCATGAAATTGTTGGTGCCTGAGGAGGAGAAAGATGACATCCTGCAGAAGTAATGCCTGCACCCTATGTGTGAAGCTCCACAACATGAGTTGGGCTGATCCAGAATGATGGTTCAGCACTGGGAAGGAAGCTGGGAAGGATAGCTGGATTTTGCAGGATGACCCACGTCTTTCTGACACCTCACACTGAATTGGCCAGGGCTGGAGCCAGCTTGTAATGTTGGGGAAAGCGCAGTACCTCTCCAGATCCCAGCCTCAGGCAGGAAAGCAATTCCCTTCCTCATGAAACACCACTGCTGCTACTGCAAGCCTCTTCCCCTGGGAAACCACCCTCATCCTAATGAGGAGGGGGCAGTTCCTGGGAAGGAGAACAGGAGCCCAGAAGGTGCATGGGCCCTTTCCTCCCTTCCTGAGCTGTTAGTCATTTGTTCCCCAGTATCCATGTACAGAGAAAGGACAGAGGAGCAAGAGAGAGAAGGGATGATGCAAAGCAGAGCAGCTCTGGGTTACTCACAATTGCTGAGTGTGGACACAGGGAAGGAGAAGCCTATCCTGCCTGAAACTCCATGGTGTGAATGGCAGCTGGATGCTCCTTATCAGGAGCTACAATGAGCTGCTGCAGCAAAAGCTGAAACCACTCACTTGCAAAATGTGAGTTGGTGGCTTCTTTGAAGAGCTACAGGTGTACAGGGAGATTAAGAAGAAATCTGATTTCTTTTTCTTTGTGAAATTGCCTGGTTTGAGGGAGACAAAAGTAGGTAACTATTGATGGACTTTCACTTAAGAATATTACACTCTCACAGTCAAGTGGAAAACACCTCTTTCTCTAAAAAAAAATGGGTGTATTTTGTGAGTATGTAGAAAATGAAGAAATTGGCTGGTGTAGTGCTCAAAAGAACTCCCTTCCCTCAAACTGTGGACTGCCATCCACATCTGCTGCTGTGCTGGAAGTAGAAGCAGGTGACTTACCTGGCTGCAGAGGACTTGGTGGGAAGGGGCTGTTCAGATGGCTGCTGGGACAGCCAACTTCCCGGATAACAAGAGAAATTCTGTATTACACCAATATATCCTTGTCCTGTCATTAAACCACATGGGACAGCATGGTCCCTATATGTCTGGGACCGTCTAACAAGCCTGGCTGGCAAATATACATCTTTCCTGCATTGCCCAGGTCCCTCTCCCCCTGCTTAATTGAATCATTGCTGGTGCAGTTTCTTTCTGGCTTTGTTCCCTTCTGTTCATGTCATTTTCTGTTTGTCTCAGTCTTAACCCTCATTGCACCACAGAGACTCTAAGAAAACTCTGGCAGCTCAGACTGAGCAGGGCAGCCATGTAAAAGTCTTGCACACACTTGGTCTTGATTGCTGTCCAGCAGAGGGTCTCAGCTGCCAAAAGATTCCACTGTGGTAGAGATAGCTAAGAAAAGCAATTATATGACAAATTTTCAACCCAGCTCAAACTTCTGCATCTGCTGGAAAATAGCTAGAGCAGAAGTGCTCACAAACCAAAACTGTGAGTGGAAACCATTGCTTTGAACTGACTCTGGTTTCCTGTAACCCTGACTCTCGTAAAACCAGAGAAGTCTGACCTGTGGCAGCTGTACAGACTCAAGGCACTGCATGGAGCCAAAGAAACACTTTTTGAGTAGCTCTATGGCTCCCAAATCCCTCACATTAGGATGCAACACAGCCGGTTACACTCCAGGTGGTGAGGTGCTGTTGTCTCCTGGTCCAGGAGATGGCCTTGCCTGTGAGATAACTCAGCAATGCTTAAAAAATCTAAATAGCTGAGCAAAACCATCCTCCAATGCCACTCTGTGTCCTTCTCGAGCTTCAGCACAGCTGTTCTGGAGATCTAGGCTAAAAGCACACCCTCAACTGAGTGCATGTAACATTACTGGATCTGCTTCCAGCTTTCCACGTGTGATTGATTTCCCATGTGCTGCTAAAAATACCAATATTCTTTTTATAAAGACAGCCTTTCTGACCCACAGGGGACAGGAGGCACCTTTAAAGCACAGTGAAGTTGGACTGTGCCTTCCAGGTTTGGACAACTGGGTGGTATCAGGGCTGTCTTCTTGCGTGGCCATGATCTACACAGACATGTTATGCTCAGACCATTCATGCCTAACTTCAAAAAGATTTTGGGGGCTTCCTCTGCTACACTGGGAACTGAATGGGCAATGCTTAGCTCTTTTTCCTGTTTAATGGCAATGGCTTCCCATGAACTGTGCAAGTAGGACCTGTTCTGAGCTTAGGAAGAGGAATAATAAATGACGAAAGTGCAAAACTAGCAAGCAAACAGACAGTGGTACACAATGGTTTGGAGAATCATGTACCAGCAATGAAGGAAAACTTCCCACCACATCTCAGCAAATGGTACTGCCAGTAATTTTAGGTTCTTTAAGCATTCTTCAAGCAATAATGTTCATTTTAGTCAGATAGGATGGCTCCAAACCACTGTTTCATGCATCCAGGACTTGGAAAACTCTGCAGAAAGAGGTGCCTGCTCTTCCATGGCAGCCACTGTGGGCGGTGGGTGCAGCATGAAGGGCTCCCAGCCTCTGTGTGCTGCCCAGGGAACACTGCCTGGCACCAGCATATCCTGAGTCAGACTTAAAATATGAAACAAATGGTTTGAATTCTCCCTCAGAGAGTTGCTGTTCTATGCGGGTGCCAGCAGCAGCATTTCAGCCATTGTTGGCAGCCAACTCACTGCCAAAACAGAGACACTCTCTCCCCCCACACCACAGGTGGGTGTTTCAGGGAAGCCTGGGGGGAACCTCGCTGTTTGTGGTTTGGGCTGTGGGGGGAGTGCAGGTGGGTCCACACCGGCAGTGGCAAAACACGTGCTGTGGTGACCACCAGCAAATCAAGCTTAAGTGATCTCTGTTACTTGCCATGTTCAAAGTTGTAACAAGGTGACAACACAGGTACAGACATACCATAGTGGGATTCGAGACACATGTTTTCCCTTCCTTTTTGTTTGTTTGTTTGTTGTTTTTTTTTGGGGGGGGGACGGGGCTGTTGGTTTTTTTTGTTTGTTTGGTTGGTTGGTTGGTTTTTTTCCCCTAAACTTAGAGAATTTATATTTATATGGATAGTTTTGGCTTTTACACGGAAAATACCAGCTTTCTTGAATTGATGCGTACATGTGGCAATAGGGGAGCCAGGGATGTCTCATCAGCAGGTGTGAAGCTGACGAGGCGCCCAGTGGGGCAGAGATGCTCCTGCACGGGGCAGCGAGCTGGAGGGGCCGGGAGGGGGAAGCTTCTCCGACCGCGACTGCCGGCACAGAGCCACTCGAGCCAAGCCGGGGGTGCGGCGGGGCTGAGCAGCGGCGTGGCAGCGGGCGGAGGGGAGGGATGACAGGCGGGGCTGGGTGTGCCGTGCCGTGCCGTGCCGTTCTGTGCCGGGGCGGCGCGGCGATGGCGGGGATGGCGGAGGCGCTGGCGAAGGAGCGGGCGGCGGCGGCGGGCGCGGGGCGGCACGACCGGGCCGTGCCCTACCTGGGGCAGCGCTTCGGGGCGCTGCGCCAGGAGTGCCTGCAGGAGGGGCGGCTCTTCCAGGACCCCTCCTTCCCCGCCGGCCCCACCGCCCTCGGCTACCGGGAGCTGGGGCCCCGCTCGCACAAGACACAGGGCGTCGTCTGGCGCCGACCCACGGTAGGGCGGCGGGGGAGGGGGGGATCCCCGGTAGCATCGTTCCACAGTATCGCCCGGCTTCCTCCTTCCCTCACCCCCTGAATTGGGGTGGACTGGATCGTGCGGGGGCGGCGGGTCGGGGCGCGGCTGCCGAGCGCGGTGCAAACCTTCCCCTCCTGCAGAATCGCGCCCGTCTGGTGCGGCTGCGGATGCTCAGGGCACCGGTGGCTCCGCTTTGCCTGGACAGCCTGGCAAACTGAGTTGCTCTGCCTGGAAAACAAGTCAGAAAAGTCATTTTCCTCTCCATCCAGAACTCTCCGTGTGGACAAACCGCTTTGGGTAGTGCTTGGGGCCGCCTCTTCTGATAACTCTTTCCTTCAGCAGAGCCATGAGTTGACCACCGTGCGGTTTATTCCCGAAGCAGCCCCGCCAGCCATGGGAGCCATGGGATCAGGTGGACTCCAGGGTGCCTCCAGGCACTTCTGAAAGACCTTGGTGTAGTCAGTGGTGGGGAGGTAATGGCAGAGCAGCGTGTGCACATGTGTGGAAATGCAGTGCACCTCCTGGCACGTCCTGTGAAGTGAGCTGGCTGCACACGAGCTTTGGTCACCAGCTCCCGTTCTCACTGTGCTTGGTGTGTCTGGTGCCCGCACCCGCTCCTGCCCTGCTCCGTCTCTGTGGTGTTCATCTGCCGTGGTCAATGGTTTGGTTAATTTGCTGCAAGTGTGGCCTTGTTCCCTGCCTCACCTGCGGCTACGTGTAATGCAAGGCTTGTTTTGTTCGCAGGAGCTGTGTCCCAACCCCCAGTTCATAGCCGGCGGAGCCACTCGCACGGACATCTGCCAAGGGGCCCTAGGTAAGGTGGAGGCAGAAAGCTGAGTTTTCCATGCAGGTGCTGCCCCAGGGCAACATGGTTTATGCATGGCTGTAACTCACTCTAATACCTCCTTTTGCATCCTACCACTTCTGTTTATTTCAAATCAGACCTTTCTCACGTTTCCTTGGCATTTGCAGGTGGGGACCATGAGTGTGGTTACTGAGAACAGCCTTTCTGCATGCACCAAGCAGGGGTGGGACACACTGGTTTCCTGATGGTTTTTCTCATCATGTCCTGTTCCTTTCACATTCAAATCCATGTACCTGAGAGCAGCCTGACTCATTTCTGCCTCTAACAGTCTGCTTGGAAGAGCAGTTGTGTGTGTAGCACGACTTCTCTTTTCCCAGTGGGAGAGAATTCTGCTGGGCAGGAGGAATCTCCTGAAACCTGGGGAGATGCTGTAGAGAGAAAAGTTGTATAGGGGCCGCCGGCTCTTGAGGAAGACAAAATTGGGGTGTTTCAGGAGGGATGGGCCAGCCTGTGAGCCCTCTGCTTTTGCCAAGGCTTCTGCTCGGTTTGTGCAATGGCAGCTCCTTGGTGGGGCTCTCCAGGGAAGATCTGGGAGCTGCAGGGAAGTGCCAGGGGACAGTGGGGAGCAAATGGCTTAGCCTGGCTGTGAGTGCACAGCTGTCCAAGTCTGGAAGCCTCTCTCTTGCCTTGCTTGACAGAAGGGGCTTTAGGTGGAGGATGTCTGCAGAGATATGAGGATAAGTAAAGTGGAGTGAAAGCAGTAGGCTCCTACTCCACAGCTGTAGTGAGTGAGAGGGGTTTGGATTGGACAGATAGCGTGGCTGAGGGAAACTCTCATGTGGGAAACGTGACTAATATGAACTGTGTTGTGCTGCTGCACTTGGCAAAGGAACCAAATTCTGTTTGTTTGCTTTCAGATATTCACCACATTGCATCTTCTTAGTTTCTAGTCCCACTGCTGCTATTTGTGGGTTCATGTCCAAAAATGTAACAGGCAGAGAAACTTATATTTTATGCCTGTGTTTTCATTCAGATGTTTTTTAAGTTAGTGCTTTGACAACCAGATGCAATTTGTATAAAAAATCCATGACAGTAAAACTACTTAGATTATGAACTCAGTTCTCCTCGTGCCCCAATATCATTGGTGGTGTGGGTTAGACTCTATTGTGCCTTGGGCTGTTACCATGCCACCAGCTTCCTTCCTGTGCTCTCTCCATCCAATACCACATCTCCTGTCATGACTGTTTTGGCATGAAGCATGTCCCAGTGCTTAAACACATGTCCAAGACATCTGTTATCTCTTTTAATTGTAAGCTTTCTGATAAGAAGTTATTCAAATTGAAATGAAAGTTTACTGTAATGCCATTTCAACATCTGGCATTTCTGTAGAGACGCTGGTTTCTGGAACCACTTAGATGCTTTCTGGTGTTCCAGCTTTTCTCTGCACATGCTGTGGCAGCAAGAGCATAGGAATGAAAGATTTGAAGCTTCATTTTGAAGCTGTGAAACTGCTGTTGCTAATACCAAACACTGTTTTTGAATTGATGAAAGCATTTTCTGCCCTAGTGGTGTTTGGACCAGTCAGATGTTCTCATGGGGTTGTATGGTATCACCAGAGGATATGAAGTGACTCACAGCTGGTATTTTTGTACCTCCTGAGTATATCTGAATCAGAGGTTGTCAGTGTTCTTGTTTGTATCTCCTCTTTCACTGTCTCTAAGTACTGCAATGACTCTCCTGGCTGTCTTCTCATGAATCTGGGCAGGATTTTGGTCTTGTGGGACAACTGTTGATTAAAAATTAGATGCTTTTGATCTTTTCTCTGTATAGCCACCGAGTTCATAAGAGCCTGGATGGAATCTCTGCTCTTTCACACAATGGGGCTGGCAGATGCACTGTACAAATTCTTTCTTTCTTTTTTTTTTTTTTCTTTTTTTTGACTGCCTTATCTGACAGTAGCATTTGTATTGATAAATTTGCTTAAGCTTACATTTACTTGATCTTTGTATTTACTTTGAGTATCCATGTCCCATCACATGTTAAAATGTTATAGAGAAGATTTCATTGGAAGATGCCAGGTGCTTTTGAAAACCTGTGCTTTTTATTATGCTGCTTCTTTTCTATAGGAGGCTTTTGTAGTCTTATTTATCCCTCAAAGGCTTGATCAAGAAGCAACAGACCTGTGCCATGGGGAGTTTCACTGCTGTTGCTGAGCCCTTCAGATCATCTGAGAGTACTGCAGGGAGAGATGGGGCATCCAGAGCACATGGACTCATCATATTTGTATGGCAGCTTCTTGGCAGGGAATGTGTAACCAAACAGCTCAGCTAATGAGCAGGGTTTCTTTTAGCTCAGAAGTCTTTGGCCAGGTGCATAAATTTGTTTAATTGTGTTTGACCTGGACTATACGAAACTGTGATCCATGTAAGGCAAAGCTGATCTTCAGTGCAGAAAAGGTTTTCCAGGCACCAAATTCTTCCCCTTGGGATTTGGATTATCCTTTATTCTGGCCTTGTGAGGTTTTTTGGTTTTGGTCTGTTGTTTTTGATCTGTTGTTTTTTCCTTAGGAGAAGCTTTTGAAAGAAAGTATTTGGAGTTGGTTTTGCAGTATCAGATCTGCAAGTCAGTGATGGTATTTGGCTCCAAATGGCAGCACATGGGATGTAGTGACTCATTACGGCTGAGGGGAGGTTCCAAAGCCAGAGAAGCCTGGTTCACCCTTAGCCACCGTTTTCTGGAGTGGATGTCACCATGGTATCACAACACTGGGGTGTAAACAGCACTGATCTCCCAGCTGCTGTTTGGATGCAGGTGTCTCCTCCTCGTGTAACAAATGTGTGAAAAAATAACAAATTGAATAGGTTGAATTTGAAAATCAGACCCTTGGTTTCCTCATGCTGACAGCCACTCTACTGCCAGTGGGTTGCCACAGCCTGTGTTTGTAACCAGATAACATTCTGGAGTGCTGTGGTATTAATATAAATACACTCTGTAGCTGTTTTAAAATAATGATGAGTCTGTGATTGGCAGAATGTACATTTTTTCTTTTACCCCATACTCTTGCATGAGCTGTGCAGTGTCCAGAGGAGCTGTCTTTTGCTTACACACCTTCGGGCATTTTGATGGGTGTATTTTGTTTGCCTTTTCTTTCCAGAATGGCTAATTTTAAGCTCTTACAGCTATTTATGCTTACCTTGCAATTACTTTTTTTTTTTTTCCCTAATGTTCTTGTTACTGCTGGAGATTAGGTAAATGCAGACATGGGTATATGGAAATAACAAGTAAAACACTGAAAGCAGGAAAAAGTAAGCATGACAGGACAAAAAATAGTACTTCTTGTTAATATGTGTTATAGATAAACTCACAGCCTGAGAATACTCCCTTTTCTGATAACCTTGTCCTGCCCACTGTTCATTTACAAAAATTATTTATGATAAATGTAGCCTTGCTAACACTCCTTTCAGGCTCTAAGCAACTGTCTGTCAGCCTCTCCTCAGGCTTTATTTTCCCTATCAGAGGAAAATCACTGTCAAGAACCTTGCAGAAGCACCAGTTCTGGATGTTCAGGCTATTTGGTAAGGACCTTGCTCAAGCTTGCTTAGTGGTAAAATTTCAGGTATAATCACTAGATCTGTTCTCATCTGGAGTCTGAATTGTCAGGTGTGCTTTTTGTGAACAGTGATGGCTGTTCACAAAGGTATCCTGGCTGTTGGGCACTTTTAAGTGTGGAAACCAAAGGATGTCTTCCATACATGCTGCAGCTGCCTTTAAACCTCAAGACCTTGCCCAGAGCTGTCAGAGTTAAGATTTGTGTTTTACTTCAAATTCTTGTTAGAAACCAGTATAAAGTTCAACAGAGATTTTACAACAGGCTGTAATTTCAGTCTGCCTTGATGAAACAGCTAGAAAGTAAAGGAAATTCTTTATAAATTCTCCTTGTGGGTGTGGTGGTCCTCTGAAGGGTGTTTCTCCTTGAATTTCCATGCTTCTTACCTCCAGAGGAAGCATGACTCAAAGATGTGTTGCAGCATTGAAGGGGATGTTCATCATCTGGAGGCCTGATCAGCTTCTTGACCAAGCCTTCCTGAGCTGCTGTGGCCATTTGAGTGGTTCATTTGTTCTTCCTGTGCTGCTCCCTGCCTGCCCAGCCCCTGCCCTGGGTATGGAATAAAATACTAATATTTCTTGGGAAGAATGGTGTGACAGCTGCCCTCTGTCTGAGCCAGACTCTTTCCTCCTGGCCCTGTCTTTCCCAGCAAACACCTTTGCAGAACATAGTGCTACCTCTGGATGCAGCTCCCAGGGAAGAGGTTCTCAGCTCCTTGGAGGAGGCTGTGAGAGGAGTCACCACTTTGCAGGGCCAAGTGGATGTGCTGTGACAGAGTAGGGAGGGGAATGTAATCATTGCTTCATAGTCTGTCACAGGAGAATACCAAGGTGACTTTCTTGTTTAAAAACTTGTCTGACATGCTGATTTTTCCATTGCAGTACAAGCAGCCAGAGGTGGGGCTGAAGGGGAGGTTTCATGTTCGGTTCTTCCCCTCCAGGTTATGAAGCAGTATAAGCATCTTAGGTTTTGAAATCGTTCTGCAATTTCACCTCTTCCACCTTTCCTGAGATGTGAGAAGATGTGTGGGACAGATGTATTTCTTAGAGCTGAGCTGGAGGTCAGCTGTGCCAAGTGAGGGCAGCCTGGAGGGAGCTGCAGGTTGTCCATGTTCCTGCTGGTGTTGTGTGAGCACTGATGGATTTGGGCCTGAGGATGGACCTCGAGGGCTGCTTTAGGGTTCATTCACCCTGAGACTTTGTCCCATTTGGATCCCCTTTTCTCACCCATAAGCTTTTGAGCCTTTTCCCATGGGAGAGAGGTGGCTGTGTAGGGACTGCTGCTTTGCTGGCCTCTGGCTTGCTGACAGCAAGGTGGTGGCAGGTTCACACATTAAAGCTGCAATCCTGCAGGACTGTTTTGTGGGATCTCATGCACAATACCGACTGCCCTCTGTTCACAAAGCAAGGGAACAGCGGATTTGGGGATGGTAACAAGGAGGTTTGTGTTGGGCTGTGGCAGTCAGAGCATCATCTGGCTCTGGAAATCTCTGACCACCTCGCTAATGAGCTGCAGGAGGCCCATGGCTGAGCAGAAAGGTGACTGCTCTGATAAAGTAAAACTGCGCTCTGAAAAGAATTACAGAAAGTAGAGGTGTGATGTTTATAGAGCTGGGGTCTCTTCCTCTCTCTGTGTGGCAGGAGATGGTGTGGAAAAACACTGTCCAGGCAGCCTGTGGTGTGCAGGGCTAGTGTGTGTTGACTCCATTCCAGGCAGGATGAGGAGGTGTGTGGGACTGGGAAACAGTGGCTGCCTTCAGGCTTTTCCTGGCTCTCCAGTGACTGTGCTGGAGGCCAGACATGGAACTAAACAGAGAGGCCTCGAGCAAGAGCCTCCAGAGATGTGAAAGGAGCTCCTGTTTGCAGGGAAGCTGGCAAGAGACCTTAAAGGAAGCTTGCCTGCAGGACGGGTCTCTGGATAGCAAGGAACATGTTTATTAAACATGGAGAAGGGAAAAGAATGCAGCCTATGCCTGAGAAAACACCTTTGAGGAGAAATTGTACCCCTAAGTACTTGTGTGTGCCCACAGGTTCTTTGCCTTTCCTCTGTGCTTCTTCCTATCATACAGGCACTCAATTGAATATTAAGTTTTCTTTCAAACAGTGCCAAAATTGGTGATCACTGTGGTGGTAGGTCATAAAAAACCTGCTTTGACATTATTTTATGACTTTGGTCTTGAGGAAACACTTGCCTGGATCTGGAGGGTATTTGATCTGTCTGAGATAAAGTGATGGGAGGGATCATCCTATCCCAGTTGAGGGAATTATTGATTATAATGCACAATCCCGATGCGGTGCAAAAACTAAAGTTTGAATAATGAATTCTGTCTGGGTTTTTTTGTTTTCCTTTTCTTTGTACAGGGGACTGTTGGCTCTTGGCAGCCATTGCTTCTCTCACCCTGAATGAAGACATTCTGGCCCGTGTTGTTCCCAAAGACCAGAGCTTCCAGGATAAATATGCAGGAATTTTCCACTTCCAGGTATGTGGAAAACAGCCTTTTCCTCTTAGTGCTATTGGGCAGGAGCCAGTGTGGCTGTCTATGTATCTGTGTGTGATGTTTCCTGGCATGGCTCTGTGGGATGTCAAAGAGCCAGACAGAAAAAAGGATACATCTAAAAAGGCCATTAATCAAAGACCTGGGAGCAGGGGCTGCCACTGTGGTCCTTCCTCCCTGAGCAGAGCCAGTTGAGTATGTGCATCCCCGAACAGGGTGGGTGAAGCTGGCTGGGACGCCGGGATCGTTTTTTGCTGGGAAAATTGACGTTCAAAGATAAACATGCTGCTGATGGGAGCGCACAGGGTGGTGATGGATGTTTGTGCTCTCTTTCCCTCAGTTCTGGCAGTATGGGGAATGGGTGGATGTGGTGGTGGACGACAGGCTGCCCACCAAGAACGGGGAGCTGCTCTTTGTGCACTCGGCGGAGGGCAGCGAGTTCTGGAGCGCGCTACTGGAGAAGGCCTATGCCAAGTGAGTTGGGGCCAGGCTTCCCCCCTCCACATCCCTGCTTCCCACAGCATCCCCAGCTGCATGGATACTGTGCATTCAGAGTGTCAGTCTGCTTATTAGCCTTTGCAGCTTCTGGGGCATCCCACAATGGCTCCTTTGGTATATCTTTGTTGATGATGCCTAAGACAAGGAGCCGAAAGCATTGGATTTGTTGCTAGCCAAGAAAAGTAGCCCTTGCATCTCGTGGCGAAGCTGTTCCTGGAGCAGCCTTCTGTCACCAGGGCCTGGGAAGTTCCATTTCATGTGCTCTATGCACCTCTGAGGGCTTGGCAGCTGCCAGTGCTTCAGTGTGCAAAGCACACCAGTCCATGTGCCCAGGTCTGTGTTCAATGCTCATATCTGAATCTCCATTTTTTGGGTTGGCCAGAGAGGAATTCTATCCTCTAACTCTACCATTGTGAATTGACTTAAGAAATTTAGATCAGCTGAAAATCAGACCCATAACTGTTAAAAGGATTTAAAGACTGTGGAACTAGAGAGGAGAATTATTTGGTCTTAATTTTTTTTAATGTATATTATTTTTTTTCAGATAGTGTTCATGATTCCTGTCATTGATATGACTGAACCTGCAAGGTGTATGCATGATTGTATAATATTTTATACTGGGCTTTCCAAATAAAGAGATCTTAAAAGCAAAGCTCACTGGAGGGACATGTTTGTAGCTGCTGCAATGCTCCTGAAGGCAGAAACGCTGTGACAGCTGGCACATTGATGGCCTCTCCTGAAGGAAGAGGAGAACAGGGAGCCTCATGGCTGTGTGTGTGTGAGAACAGGGAGCCTGATGGTTGTGCCTGTCCCCCATTTTGTGCAGGCTGAATGGCTCATACGAGTCCCTCTCTGGTGGCACCACCACCGAAGGCTTTGAGGACTTCACCGGTGGCATTGCAGAATGGTATGAGCTGCAGAAGCCACCCCCCAACCTCTTCAAGATCATTCAGAAGGCACTCCAGAAAGGCTCTCTCCTTGGCTGCTCCATTGATGTGAGTTAGCAGGTTTATTTCTGGGTTCTTGCTGTGCACACAGGCTGGGGTGGACCTGTGCTGCACCTGCAGGAGCTGCACACAGCATGCCAGTCCCCTCTGCCTGTGGTTCCCTGCTCTACCTTGTGCCTGAAGAATTTGACCCAGACATGTGCTCTCATGAAGGTTAGGCTGAAACTAAACTTCATTAGCTCATGTAAGAAGCTCATTCCCTCCCTAGTGCTTCTCACATGAGACCTTCTGCTCTTTAGAAGGTTGATGGTAATGAATCACACAGGGAACTTGTTAGGAGTCTTGGTGGACATCTGTGTTCCTAAGAAAGCCTTATCTTGGCAGCAGGATGGCACAGGCTGAGAGGGTTTGGACAGAAAGCAGCTGCTAATGGGTCCTGCAGTCAGGTGCTCAAGGTGGCAATGTCCATCCTTGCTGCAGCCTTTTTGTTGCACAAGTTGTACCTAAAATGTTCCCAAAAAATCTGGGCTCTGTTCTTGAAGCAGAGAGGCTCGGACTGTTGCCAAACCTTTAAAAGGTTTTATGAGAAGACACGTTGTCAGAAACTGGATGCACATGGGAAAGAAAAAGAGGAGCTTTGGCCCTGCCTTCAAGGATTCAGCATTGCTTTTAGCCTTACTGAAATGAGTCTAAGTATTGTTATTGTGGTAATCACCCTCCTCCCAAATGAGATTGCATCTTAGTTATGTCTAAAGGGAAGGTCAATTGTTTACAAAAACCCCATTCATAATATAAATGTAAATGATTCCTCCCATTTTTCAAGTTAAATCAGAGTCCCAGGAGAGGGAAGATTCACAGCAGGAAAAGTGCTTGGTTAATGTCAATTTGACTTCATGGTATTTTCAAGGCCTGTTTTACTCGTTTGCATTTAGATAAGAATGTGACATCTGGATTTTTGCCCCAGACTTATACAAATCCCTTGGGTGGGTAGGGGGGAGAGTAAATATATTATGTTGTTGGTAAGTACTGGCACTTTCTGTAATGTAAAAGAACTGTTGCTGAATTTATCCTTTGGAAAAAAACCTTGTAAAATCTTTCCTTCTGTTCTGTAAGAGAAATAGGGACACAGAGGTTGAGCATTAAATGGAGAGCGTGCTGTGGGGCAGTACAGGCCATGCATTGAAGCAGGAATTCTGCCCGCTCCATCCAATCCTCTCTGTTTAAGCTTCAAATATGCTTGTTTCGAGGTCACACACTTCTCAAATGGTGAAAAGACAATGACAGCCACATGTTTCATAGGTAGATAAGTATTCACTGTCTGGCAAGAAGTAACCTTTCTCTGCAGTGTTTAAAGGCCAGACTGCCCAGGCAGTGGCTGTGAAACCCTGAGGGGGATGTGCCTTCAGGTACGAATGGCATCAAAGTTCAGCCTCTTTTCCCTTGCTGTTCTGCAGGGCAGATCCTAGGGGGGCAGGGCTGGGGAAAGGGAAGGGAACCTCCCACCCTGCTTTGGAGCTTCAGGGGGTGTTTCAACACTAAAATTTGCTGGAGCTGAGTGTGATCCCAGTGGAGCCTCAGGCCAGTCACTCCCTGTTTTTCTTCTGGTCCCTTGAGAATATGGAGTTTCTCATGTGCATCCCCTCTGGAGATGCACAAGAGTGGCTGCACCACACCGAGTGTTTTGGAGCCAGGAGGGAACTTTGCTGCAGTGCCAGGCTTCTGGTGTGCACCCCATGCCACAAACATGGCAAACTCCCTGGGTTCCAGCACCACCACATGTGCAGCAGCTAAGCCACTCCTGCAGCCTCCCAGTGAGATGGAAGCTCTGTTGGAGTGGGAAGCTTGGTTCTGTTTGATCGCCTGCCCATAGGAAGCTGCAATCACTGATGTCCTTTGCCCCTCCAGATCACCAGTGCTGCAGAAACAGAAGCAGTCACTTCCCAGAAGCTGGTGAAGGGACACGCGTACTCGGTCACCGGGGCAGAGGAGGTAGGTGTGCCGCCCCGAGGTGCAGCAGGTTTTGTGTGTGGCAGCCACAAGCCCGTCTTCAACACTGCAAATTCTTAAGTGTTGCCCATTTTGCTGCATTGGGTTTTGAGTCTCTTCTTTCTGAAGGAGTGCTTAATTAGTTGGTATGTTTTGGATAAACACGGATTTGCCTTCTTGGGTGTTTGACCAAAAAACCCCTCTTATTCCATAAGCATGGCTATTTCCCATGGAGCAGGGTGGTGGGCAGCTCTGTGCAGAAGGCATGCTACCCTCTGCTGGTGACCAGGCCCTTCAAGTGCACTTCTGTACAGCAGGCCACACTTTTTACCTTACAAGCACAGCAAGAAGTGTCCTGGGCAAAAAAATAAAACAGCCCCCATGTATTATTGTCCCTGAAGTGCCTCTGAACAGCACCTTTCAGCTGGGCTTGGTGTTCAAACACAAGGGGCCTGCCCAAGAGTGGGTGGCTGGTCAAGAAAAGACAAAACAAAGGAAGCAGATCATGGCATCCTTCCATGTGTGCAGTGGATTTTTGGTTAGTTCACTGGTAATGGTAAGTTCAGGGTGAGGTATAGAGAGCTGCTGACATGCTGTTCTGATCTGTGGGTGTGCATTTGGTCTTCTCACAGCAAAAGCAGGGAAGAGGGAGTTTGTTCACCTTAATTCACAAGTAGGCATGATTTAGCCAAGCTGTTCCTTTGGCGATCTGTGCAGACTCAGTAGGGATGGTTCAACTGGGGTGTCATCTCTAGACTGCAGAGACCAGCAGATGACAAGAGGAGGGGCTCAGGCTGCTGCTCTGCAGGGCATTGGTGAGGTCAGAGGGGTTGTGGCCAGTCTGAGTGTCCTGTCTGTTGTAACAGGCTCCTTTTATATATAAGCAGGGGGGTAAAAAGGCATTGGAATATGAAGAGACGATTTATACCTATGTGATGACTTTGAGGAATATCTCTGTACCTGCTTTTGGGCTTTTGTATAGCAGTTTTATGTTCCCTTTGCTTGTTATCCTATCAAAGGTGATTTTTTAGCAGCACAAATCAGACATTTTGGTTTTCATGGGCTTTGGTTTGTGAATGCTGTAAAACTTCTTTGGACAAGCTTGGCTGTGTGATGCTCACTCAGAATCAGTTGGACTTTTGTCTTTTGGACCAGATGTGTGCATGTTTTTGTGCCTAGCACCGAGATACTTGCTCTGTCATGTTTTTAATTACTATAGAGGATGAGGGAGGAAGTGTGGTGCTGAGTCCCTGGTGACTCTCCATACACTTCTGATCCCATCAGGTGAACTTCCGAGGAACAGTGCAGAAGCTGATCAGAATCCGAAATCCCTGGGGAGAAGTGGAGTGGACTGGGAAATGGAATGACAAGTGAGTCAATGGCTTCCTTGTTGCCAGGAGCCCTTTACTGCAGGGGTGCAGTCGTGTTTCTGGCTCTTCTGTCTTTTTCTCTTCCCTACCTGAAATTCCTCTGTAAGTCCTGTCAGGATGTGGTGTTCACATGTTTCAGAGAGAAGCATCCCCTCACTGTCATCTCCCTGGTAGCCATCATGGTATGTGATGCTTTTCATGCAAATTGCAACCTTTGTGTAAGATGCAGTGATTTGGTTGGTGAATCCTACAAAGCTCCCTGTAGTTTCTGCTTATTTAACAGCCTGGATTCAGTTATGAGCTTCTGAAAACTCACTTTCTAAAAGGGCTTTAAAAATCCATTTCTGCTGTTAGCTATGAAAGCTGGAATTTACGCACTTCTGTGGCTGGGCAGTTTTTATTCTGACTCTTCCTTTTTCTGTCTCAGTCCAGACATTGCACTTTCTAAAAATAACACTCTGTTTCTCATCCTTACCTTGGATATTTGAGAAGTGAGGTATTTTATGTGCCAGGTGCATCTATTTTTAATTCTGCAGTAGGTTGAGAATTCTAGAACTGCTGAAAGTTAGATCTTGTGCCAGAACAGCCACATTAGGGTTTCACCTTTCCCATGGGCTGTAGTTGATGTGGGGTTCTCTTCCAGCTGCCCAAACTGGAGTGGTGTTGACCCTGAGGTGCGGGAGCGACTGACCAGGAGACACGAAGATGGGGAATTTTGGTGAGTGTCACTGGGTTCCCATTCCAGCAGAAGGGAATGTCAGCTGCTCTGCTTTTATTCATGCCAAGTAACCTCTCCCAGTTTGCTCTCCGAGATGAGTGTGCAAATTCACCCCAAACCCTAGTGCTAAATCATAGTGACAGGGAGGGAGGATGGACAAGGTGGTGTGGAAAACCCTTCTGAGGAGAGGTTGCCAGTGGCCCTTCCTCCCACAGGATGGCATTCAATGACTTCCTGAGGCATTATTCCCGCCTGGAGATCTGCAACCTGACTCCAGACACCCTGGCAAGTGACAGGTACAAAAAATGGAGCCTGCAGAAGCTGGATGGCAACTGGAGGCGAGGAGCCACTGCAGGGGGCTGCAGGAACTACCCAGGTAAGAAAAACTGGAGAAACTTTTTACATGTCCACTTTTACTTTATTTGGGAGCTTCCAGGAGATGTTTTGGGATGGTTTATGGGATATCTAGGACTAATCTCCAAAAAGTGTGGGTGTCTGGGAAATGTGGCTCCATGATGAGGATCCATTGTGGTTGTAAAGGCTGGGGTGGGCAGGGCAGTGCATTGATTTTCTCTTCTCACAGCTGATTTTGGCAATCAGAGCCACATATATCGTATCTGACATGTTTAAATGTCATCATGGTTGATGTCAAAGAAGCCTCTGAGTAGTTTGCTTAAATCCACTTCCCAGACACATTCTGGACGAATCCTCAGTATTTGATCAAGCTGGAGGAGGAAGATGAGGACCCTGATGATCCTGAGGGGGGCTGCACTTTCCTCATTGGGCTGATCCAGAAGCACCGTCGGAAGCAGAGGAAGATGGGGGAGGACATGCACACCATTGGCTTTGCCATTTATGAGGCAAGGAAGGCTGACAGGAGTGTGGGAGGAAAAGGGAAAATCATTCCCCCTATAAATGGGATAGTGCAGTTCCCATGCTGGGATTTCTGTCAAAATTCAGATGGGTTGAGTAGGACAGCAGCTGCAGCAAGGAAGGTGTAAAGAAACAAAAAGCTGCATCATGCTTGCTTAGCTCCATCCCCTTTCCTGATGATGGAGAGGGCAGAGGGGCAGGAGTGTGAAAGAGGGGACAGGGAGAAACAGTAGAGAAATTGAGCCTACAATAAAAATCGTGGTGGTCTGCAGGGAGCAGATTCAACAGGAAGCCACAACCAGCCTGGCTGGTGTGAATCTCACACCTCAGGGATGGAGCTGGGAGCTGAGCCAGCACTTGGCCTTGGGTGATATGGGCTCAACACCCACCTTCCCCTCAAGCCAAGTCTTTTTTTGTTTTCCTTTGTTTCGTTTTTTTTCAAGAATGTGTATGTCCTTGCTAAGTAATGGTGAAAAGAAGATGGAGATGCCATTCACCGCTCAACAAGGAAATAACTCTGTTCTTTTCTCCCTGCAGGTGCCCCCAGAGGTATGTGGCATGGGTTGGTGGTCAAGGTGCAGAGTTGGGGCTCAATGGCTGGTGGGAAGAAGAGGTTCAGAGGATCCTACTTCATCCTATATGACTGCACAGAGTCTACAGTTAGAGGCCATTTGTTCTGGATGGGGCCTTGAGCTCATGTTGCATTTTTAGAGTGTCCTGGATTGGGATAAGAGTGTTCAGTGCTGCAGAAACTCCCTGAAGCAGCTCTTCTGTGGCTCTCCTCCCAGCCCAGCCTCACACTTGCTCTGTCAGAGCACAACTGCTTTTTCCAGGTTTGCACAGAGTTCATGTTTGACTCATAAATAATATTCCAAGGAGGTGTTTATATTCATTTCCCTAAGCACCACCTATTTTGGTTTCTCTCTATTTCTACCTTCAGGCAGCCATTAGTACACCCTGGGGGTCACAGAGGAGTGGCAATGCAGCAATGCCTCTTAGCTGTTGCTCCTCAGAGGAAGGACTGGAGCTCAGCAAAACCCCTGGGTAACCCCATTACTGGGTTTGCTGTTCCTGTGAGGGTCTGTGCAAAGCAGCTGGGGCATCCTGTGGTTCCTGAGGCTGTGCCCAAACCAGTGGCTTTTATGTAAAGGATGGTTTCATCAGGAAAAGAAATGGTGCTACTGGTTAATTAAATTTCTTATGTACTTTTTTTAATGCCTTAGTAGTACTCTGTCACTCACCCTAGTGGTCCAAATATTAAATTTCCGTAAGAAAACTGATTCTATCTACACTACTGTGACTCTTCTTTCCCCTAGAAGGTGGAATTTTATCTCTCACTATGCAGCAGGTCTGACAGGCTTTTAAAATTCTTTCTTCATTATTAAAAATCTAGGAGGACAGGAAAGAGGAGGTTTCTGAAAGATGCACATTGCTGAAGCTGGCTGTTAAAGTTGAAATGGCCCACCTGTAAGACTCTGCAAAAACAGTTCACTCTGGAAGATCACAAAATTATAGAATGGTTTGGTTGGAAGGGACCTTAAAGATCACCCAGTTCCAACCTCCTGCCATGGGCAGGGACACCGTTCACTAGATGTTTCACTCCAAATATGATTTTATTTTATTATTTTGTTTTGTTTTATTCTTGGAGCCCTCCATGAGTGGGTTCTGCTCGGAGGCAGCCTGACCTTAGAGACAGAGCTGAGCTGCAGGTGGCACCAGCTCTGGGGACCAGAGGGACATGGCTCATGTGCCATCTCAGTTTAAAGAAAAATTATAGGTGGAAGAATTTTACCAATGTCTTCAGACACCCATTATCATCTACAAAACAAAAGCATGACCTGAATGATTTATTGCAATGATCTGCAAAATACATTTGCAGCCACATCTCAGGACTCCCACCTCCTTTCTCTTCTTTTTCAGTTCTGTCAAGCTGACATATTTTTTCTTTTATTTTCTTTTCCCCAGACACAGCTAACTGCCATATCTATGATATTTTATATTTGTAAACGTGAACACATGCAGACTGCCATGGTTTTTCTCCCCTTTCTTTGCTTTTCTTAAGTTTTCTGGCCAGACAAGTATTCATCTGAGCAAAAACTTCTTCCTGACCAACAAAGCCAGGGAAAAATCCAACACCTTCATCAACCTCCGGGAGGTGCTGAACCGGTTCAAGCTCCCTGCAGGAGAATACATCATCGTGCCCTCCACCTTTGAACCCAACAAAAACGGGGACTTCTGCCTCAGAGTCTTCTCTGAAAAAAATGCCAACTCCACGTAGGTAGCTTTTGGTGACCATATTACAGCAGTGGGCACATGGGGGAGATTATTATTATTGTTACTTTTATTGCTTTTGTTATCTCAATTACTATTTAATTAAAATTAAAAGGTTTAGATGTGTAACATCTTGAAGAGCAGCTGGGCTAAAGCCTGATAAAGGGGTGTGGGGTCTTTTTTATTGAGTTGCCCTGATTCAAAGCAAGCAGAAACCTTCCTCTATCCTGTAACATTTTGCTGCATATACCTGCAGCAGTGGGAAATCCGGGATGTTCATTGTGTGAGGACCCATTCAGCTTTTGATGGGCACTCTAGGAGTGCTTGGGCACCATCTGTAGGCCTGGTGCTCCCTCAGCACCTGGGGGACAGCATGAGGCACATCAGAATTACTTTAGGACTCTTTCTGTTTTAAAGAAGAAATGACTAGACAAAGTTTGATTTGTACCCAAGAACCTGGTCCCTTGCTAGGTAGGCAAAAAAAGACCCAAAGTGTTATGTGAGCCTCAAAATCCTGTCTGTGGCTCTGCAGAACATTGCACAATTTGTACTGTCTTTTCAAACTCTTGTTGCCATAGCTGGCAAAATACAGCTTTCACTGTATTATACTGTGTCCATAGCTGATTAATCCAGTAAATTTTGAATGCTCATTGTTATTTTCATATTTTAAAGAATCTCTCTTTAACTGAAGCTTGAAGGAAAAGCATCATAAACATGACTTGTTTTGATTTTAATATTGATTTCATTCTCTTTCTAGGGTGATAGATGATGAAATTGAAGGCAATTTTGATGAGGTACATCAAATTATATATTTTAAATTGAGATAATTTTGTTGTAAGGAGGGTTGGAGTGCCTGTTTCCTGTGCAGGGTAATGTTTTCTATAGGCATTATCAAGAAATGTTGTCCCACTTTGGGAAAATGGGAAAAGATCTTTCATTATCCATTGCTGGGTGTTAAGCAAATGGAAATATCATCAGGAATGATCAGGAAACACATGTTGTCCTTTATCTAGAACTTGGACTTCCTAGGCATAGGTACATTCTCAAGAGTTAACTGGAGTCACAGGAAATTCCCTTTGTTCTCCAGGAGTCCAGGAGTGCAGCTTGCAGCAGCAGGGCTGTTACTGTATGTAATGCTGTTTCCAGGAGTAAATAGTGGCTCACCATATGTTTATTCTTGCTGTAGCTGGGGATGCTTTGCCTACTAATGCAGCTATTCCATGTAGCAGCTACTCAATGTAGTGGGTGTTTTTCCCAGCATTTACAATGCCAGTATTTTAAGGTGCCCCTGAATATAAAACTGAATAAAATCATAGTAAAAACCACTTTGTACCTTCAACCTTGACATTTGATTTTTTTACTAAGGGCAGGGGAATGCATTAAGTCTTTCTCAGGCAGAAACTTTCCCCCTTTTGACATTCTCTGTTTCTGTCTTCTAGACTGAGACCAGTGAAGATGACATCGAACCCAGCTTTAAAAAGCTTTTTGGGCAGCTAGCAGGAAATGTGAGTGTTTTTCTGGTAATATCTTACTAACATCATGGTGAGTGGGTGAGAGAGATGCCTCCTGCAGGTCAGAGTTTAGTTCTTGTGCAGAGTCAGCTCTCAAGTGTGAGCACAATTGTGCATCCCAAACCTGTGCAGTCACCCAGCTGCTTCCACAGTGGATTTGGGAGTGCTCCTGGTGAACAATCTCTGCTCCTTTTGAACAGCGGGCTCGACTTTTATCTCTGCAGGGCCCCAGTTCTGTCTTTGGGCAGAGCATATGTCTGGGCTGGGCTTCTCCCCAGGCTGCTCTTGCCTTGGGCACACCTTGCTGCCAGGTGTGCTAATCTCTGGGAATTAGTGGTGCTCCAGGGAATTGGAGGTGGGGAGAGCTTCCCACTTGCTTCCATTCAAGGGAACTGAACTCCAAGGGGTGTTAGAAATTAGCCAACTTGCCCAAAGGAATCTGAAGCTTCAGATGGTGTCTTGCACGGTGGAAAATTTGTTTTCCTCTTTTCCACAGGACGCAGAGATCTCTGCCTTCGAACTGCGCAGCATCCTGAATAAAATCCTGGCTAAACGTGAGTGCCTTCCTCCACCAGCAGCTTCAGGTGGCCACCAGCAGGTTTCCACTGTGGCCATGGGAGCACAGAGGGCACCACTGCCCTGGGCAGGGTCAGAGCCTGGGCTCTGCCCCAGACCTGCTGCTTGGCTCTCCATATGGCCACAACCACACGTGCTCTCTCTGCTGCTTCAGGGGGCTGCAGAAACGCTGGGGCTGTGCCAGCCCAGAAGCTGTTTCACAGGGTGTGTGCTTTGGCAAGGTACAGATGGGTGTCTTTTATCCCAGCATCTGCCACTGGGAATTGGCTGCCAGGAAGATGAATGGATTTGAATAATCCTTGATAATAATCAAGAGAGAGATTTCTGCTGTTTTAGTATTGAACCACCCAGGAATGAGTCAAGCAGTAGCCCAGCCAATAGTCTGGGTGTCCCTAAGGAGGAGGAGGAAGAGAAACTTTTAAACTCTGGGCTTCTTTTTCTCTGCAGAGATTCCTAGCTTGGCTCTGCATTATTTTCCTTCCCACTAAACGGTGCTCAAGAAACAAGTGTTTGGAGAAAAAATTGTCTCTTTAATTTCAAATGTGAAATCTTATCAGGTGGTCAGGACTGTGGTGTATGCCTGTGTGCAGCAGCCAGTAATCAGCAACAGGCTGTAGCTTGGCTTTGTGATCAGCCTTTCATGAAGCCACCTCCTGCTGACCTCCATAAGCTGGAAGTCCACACTGTCCACAGAAGTCCACTTTGCAGAAAGACAGTAAGAGCACGGAAGCTTTTGTCTCTTTCTCTTGCTCCTGCAGCATGCCTACAAACCAGACTGCTCAGGCTGTTTGCTTGGGGACGCATCCCAGCTCACTTGAGCTGGGACACATCCCAGCTCAAAGGATGGCACCGTTGGAAGCAAATACAGGCTGGTTGGAGAGCTCATGAGCTACTTATGAAGGTCCTGTGGTACAGCATTCAGTGACAATCCTGTCTTTTGCTCTTTCTTTACAGGCCAAGATATTAAATCTGATGGCTTTAGTATTGAGACATGCAAAATAATGGTTGACCTGTTAGATGTATCCTTTAAAGCTCTTCCTAGATGATATTCCCCTTCCTGTGCTGAAGCAGGCCAGCTGCCTTTTCTCCCTGGTGTGTCCATCCTGGTGTACTAATGGCTCCCGAGGTGGAGAAGCTGGCTTTACCCTGATTCCTGTGAGAATGCCACTCCTTTGTTATTGTTCACACGTGTGTTATCCCAGGCAATGGGAAAAATCCATCATCAAAAAAAGTCTGCTTGGAAGCCTTCCCTGCTGTTGGGTGTTCTGGTCTGGCTGGGGACAAAGTGATGTTTGTGCTGGGAAAAGGCTCTCAGCATGGTGAAGATGGCCTTGGCTGTAGGGTTGTTTCACCTCTCTGTTATATGGCTGGAGTTGGTAAAAGCATCACAAAGCCATAGGGGGACTTAGCAAATGGAAAATGAGGGACGTAAATTTTGTTCTGACATGCCATACAGGAAGCAGAGAGTATGCAGGATATTACGAGCTTTTACTCCTGAGATACAGGCAAAAGTGTATGATGAAGGATCAGGTCTAAGAATAGTTGTGTTCAGCTTCTCTGTGCAGTGAGAGTTGAATTTCAGAGTTGGAAAAAGGGAAAATTACCAACACAAGGTGATACTTTTCTATAATTTGGTGTAAAATACAGCAGTCCACAGGCAGTCCTTGGCAGGTTTTGGGTACAGTGCCATGACCAGGTTCTTTTGTTAGCTGTTTGCTCAAGAGCTGAAGGTCACCAAATAGCAGGCTTGGCTGTGGCTTTTCCTGTTTATAATCCAGACCCAGGACTTGTGCTCCAGTAACTGCAGGTGTTGAACCCACTACGCAGAACAAAACTGAATCATCCTGTCTTGTTTATACTTGTAGTGGAAAGACAGAGACCTGCAGCAGGGGTGCAGAAAACTGGTCATGATTTAAATTAATGATCTTAATTTAGAAAGAAATCTTGGACAATAATTGTGTATCCAACAGGATGAGTCCTGGAGAGAGGATGAGTCCTTCAGAGAGGACTTGAATCCCTTTCCTGTTTGCAATTTTTTTAAAGTCGCAACTGCCCATGCGAGTAAACCCAGCAGAGGGAGAGGAAACCCTTTTTTCTTCCATCTGAAGAAACTTCCTTAACTCAAAGAAGAATGATGGGAGTGGCAAACTGGGACTGAAGGAGTTCCACACCCTCTGGACAAAGATTCAGAAATACCAGGTAAGACATAACTCCACTTTGTAGAAGTGGCTGTAGACTGATTTGTGCCATGCAATGTGCGCAGTCACCTTTCCCAAAGCAGGGACTGTCTGTCTGTAATCCCCCAAGTTTTGTCTTTATCTGCTCTGACTACTGCATTAAAAAAACTTACTTTTTAAAGCCAATTTTAGAACAAATTGATATAAGTACCAAGCCCTTCAGATCAACATTGCAAAGTTCTTTAAGTAACATGCAAGCTGCGTTTCAAAATGTTTCACTTCTGCCAGAAGCCAAACCACCTCTGCATTATTGGCAAGGTTTCACTTTGGGTTTTGTGTTTTGCAGAAAATTTACAGAGAAATTGATGTGGATCGATCGGGTACCATGAACTCATATGAGATGAGGAGGGCGCTGGAAACAGCAGGTATTTATACTGATCTGTTTCTTTGTAGGATTCCATCAGTTTCAAGCAGGGTTGAGAGGTGCTCAAAGCCATACAATCCCATCTTAACTTAGTGAATTTTGGGCGCTCTGGAGTGTTCCCCTCCTGCCACCACGCAGATCAGGCATTTGATTTTGTACTCATGTCGACTCTTTGGAAACAGAGTCTTTTAAACCCTTGGCATTGTATTTTCAGGGTTCAAACTGAACTGCCAGTTACATCAGGTCATTGTGGCTCGTTTTGCTGATGAGGATCTTGTCATTGACTTTGACAACTTTGTGCGCTGTTTGATTCGGCTCGAAACCTTGTTCAGTGAGTACGCGCTTAGTAACCAGTCAGACTCTGCTGCTTTGTGATTCCAGCAGGAGAACTGTCCAGGCAGAACTGTCCAGAAGACTAGGATAAGGTACTCAGACAAATTAAATCCTGAGATATTAATCTGGCTTCTCCTGGATCCAGGACTCAGTCTTTTAGGCCAGGCTGCTGAACCACAGCCAGTCTTCCTTGCAAACAGCTCTGTGTTGATTAAAAAATGCTAGGCAACAATTAAAAATGTTCAGTCTTGCTCCTGCACAATGACTTTGGAGTGGCCCTTTCTGATTTGGGGTGTAGGCCATTGTCAAGTTTTAGATTCTGGGACTAAATTCCTTATTGATCCTGAAGCACAAGGAAAGGGAAGACTTCAAATTTGTTCCTGTATTTATCCTTGTCTGTCATTTTTCTCCAACCACAGAAATGTTTAGAAAACTGGATACGGAAAAAAGTGGGACAATAGAATTGAACCTTGTTAATGTAAGTTCATTTACCTCTAAAACATTTGTTTTCATTTTTGGGGAAAAAGTGTGGCGGGGGGGGGGGGTATGTTGAGTCTGTCCTGCTCCATTCTGACTGAGGATGGTTGGTTTTAAAAACTCACGTTTGTGCTGGATTTATTTACCTTGTATTTATAAGTAGCTTTAGAAAGGTTACCTTTTAAAAATGTACCTACATCACAACATATTGTCTAACACAGTTACTCGCACCAGAAGCCACTTTTGGTAGAAGCAGTAATTTTTGCTTCTTCCCTGCTTTTTCTATCAACAGAGCAAAATGTAGGTGCAGTTGTGTAGGCAAGACTGATGGTCTTGCTCATGTCTGCTTCTTCGTGCCCCATGTGTGCCCTATAGAAAGGACTAAGTCTGGAGAAAAGTACCCTCCTACGTGTGTTTGACTTCATTATTACCTGAACATAACTTATTTCTGAACCTAAGAATGCCAAAACTCTGATTTAAATGAGATATAAATTTAAATCACTCAGGAAAGATCATACTTTTGTAACAACAGGCTGACTATATGCTAGAAATGCAGCTATGCATGCTTGCTACAGGACTTTTTGCTAAATATAACCTTGTCTTCCTCTCTCTTTTGCTACAGTGGCTGTGCTTTACTGTCATTTGAGCCACTTGCATCAGCCTGAGACCTCAACAAGAGCATGATCAGGTGAAGATAATCAAGCTACATACAAGTAATATCCAAACATGAATGTGCCTTAACTTACACAAAGCAAGCAGATTTTGCATGCAATTACAAGAAGAAAAGCATTCTACTTCCACAGAAGAACCTGCAACCTCATTTTTATGGGTCTGACCGTCTGTACCTATTCTCGTATAGCCTCTGGAAAAAGGCTTTAGTTTAGTATCAATCCTCAGTGCAAGTTTTGAAAACACTGCTTTGCTAATATCTTTGTATTTAAGGCATTTTACAGGACTTCAGGAAGAAAAGCTCATTATAACTTGACAGTCTGGCTTTAAAAAGTGCTTTTTGAACAACATCCTGTATATCTGAAATTAGTAAAGAGATAGTATTGCAAATCTAAACACCTGTACTCAGAGATAGGGGTTCCAAGCCCCAGCACTATCATAGTGAAATATTCTTTAAAGAATTTGAGTGGCAAGTACATCTCTGACCAAAATGAGCATTGATGTGCCCGGAGCCGGAAGCTGCTGGTAACAAAATTCTTCCAAGAGAAAGCCCATGCTTTCAGGAGGAATCTTGAGTTCCTGTACCTTATTTATCTTCCTTTGAAATACAAGATAGCATTTAAATTAACAACAACAACAACAACAAAGTGGAAATAAAGTTTGCCAGACTTATTTCTGCTGAAAATAAGCACTTTTTCTTTCTTAGAGATTGATATTCTATACTCCACACCCAGCCTGTTGAAAGCAGAGGCTGTGACTGTGAGCCAATTGCTGCTGCCTTTAGTTTCCCCACCTGAGGAATTGTGTCCTCCTTACAAACTATTTATTCCTTATGGGCACCTTTTCAGAAAGCAGTAGGACTTACCTAGTAAGAAAACATGAGCCTGCAGGATGAGGCACTTTCTAAATACCTGTAAGGAATTATTTGCTCCTCAATTAAATACTGTTCAGTATCAAATTATTGCCAAATGGAGAGACAGAAAGGATAGGAAAGGCTTTATAGGAATGGCTTTATTTGAAAAATACTTGTACCAAGCTGGGTTTTTTCCTTAAGTGTGTCCCTTAGCTTTTAAAGTTAACAATGTGTCAGTAACAGATTCAGCTAAATTTTAAATGCAGAAAAACTACCTTGAATGGATGGGGGAGGAGGGGCTCAATTTAATACCGGAAGTAGCTGAAAGTCAGTGTAATGTAGAACAACAGTGTGTCTTACTGGTAACATTTCTAATAAAAATCACTGTTAAAATACCCAGAGTTAAAGCTTAAGAGGAGACAAAAGTTTAATGGTGAAGTAAACAAGTAGAATAAAATAAGTACATTATCAAGGACTACAGAAAGTTTCTACACTTAGCCTTCAAAGTACAAAATACAATAAATATATGAGGCTCATTGTCAAAAGATGAATCTAAAACTACATTTCTGTTACAGCACATATAAGATGCTATAGCTTTTTTAAAAGTTATTGCTTAATGGATTGGTCATGTGGTTGTCACTCTTCAGATGCACTTCAGATTTTTTAGCTTCTTTTAACAAACATTCTGCTTCCACCAATAAGCAGTTGGGTGCTGTGCACATACTTCAATTTCTTCCATCTGGAAAAAAACCTCAGGATAAATTTGGACAAAGCCAAGTTGTCTGTTTCATGATGATTCCTTCAATGGCAAATTCAAAAGGTCCTTGTATTTAATGCAGAAAAGAAGTGAGACTCTCTTCTGCCTTGTTTGAAGGCAGCCGGGTGGGTACTTGAACATAATGGTTTGATTCGACCAAAGGCAGCAGAATTTCATTTGCTTGTAAGCATTATTTCGTCTTGTACAATGCCCTCATCCATTTGCTAATGCATCAATCATTCATTTCTTTTCAAAGCACATTTTTCATAGCTTTCAAATGACATTGTCATTGAAATAAGTCAGAACCAACACAAAATGGACTTCTTTTGCTGTAAGTTATCCATAATTAGTACTTTAAGAATCTGGCTTCCATACTATTTCATGCCAAGCTTCTTTGTCTAGGTTTAATCCTTGGATACAGCTGAGGGTAAAACAGAAGTGAGGTTTAAAATTTTAGTACTTTAAAAGGTTATTTTTTTAAAAAGAAAAAATAAAGGAACAAAAAATTGTAGCTCTTTGGTGCTACAATTCTAATGTACTCCATAGTACCAAAAAGCATGCTTATAAAAAACACCCAGAGCACTGACAAATATGAATTTAGCAGTCTTAAGCAAGCTTAAAACCATACCAACCTTGTCAGTACAAAAGGAAGGTATTGAACAGCACATAATAGAGTACTTTCAGCTCTACCCAGATGGGTGGGCCAGGAAACGCACATGGCTTTGTAAATCAAGAGACTTCTGTGTTCAGTAAACTGCGGGATTGTTCCCTGTTTTATAAATGGGACCAGAGAGATGAAGTCTGGTTTGCTTTCTCTCACCTATCAGCTTTTATGGCAGTAAAGCTTGGGGCAAGCTGGAAACATCTGTCTGCAGAAGGACCATGGAAGTGGAGGAGCTTTGCTTTAGGGAGTGGAGGGTGGGTGGCCAGTTCTATGAGTGACCTGCCCAGCAGGAAATTGGTCCCTGCCAGCCTTTGGCCCCTGGGCCAAGTGCTACTTATACAGCCTGGCTGTGGGAAATGAATTTGTAAAGAATTCTTAAAATCTGATAGAAAGTTCACAGTCTTGTACATCTCTATGCAAACATTGAGATAAGGTGTGTTGATTTCAGAACTAGATTGAACTAGAAACAAGTTTCAACAAGTTTCAAAATATGGCCTTGCAAAAAGACTAGATGTCTTAGAGAATCAGAACTGTGAAAGATGCATTGTAGCAGGACTATGTGGGGAAAAAATAGAGGTGGTTGCTGTTAGAAGTAATAGCAGCATTGTGTGGCAAAAGCTAATAGGCAGAAAAACACTATAAGGTATTGTAACCAGGAAATAGGTTGGCTTCTGATAGAATGGTGGTGAGTTTTACATCTCTTGTGTCTCACTATTCATCAAGACTGATAATGGAATAAAATCTTTTAAAACACCTTTCAGTTACCCCATCTCTGTAAAAGTTGGGAAAACCTGGCCACACACACAGAGGTGCAGGGGACAACTGACAGCTTGGGACAGCACACATCAGGGATAAGATGCCTGGGAAGCTGTTGGTTCCTACCTAGAAGGGCTTAGGGAACAGCTGCTGTTCTGAAAAACTTGGCCACTGGCATATGAAAATAGGAGGTTGCACTTCATCCCGTTAGGAAAGATGAATCCTCCGTGCTCTAAATGGCAATGCATGTCTACATCACAGCTTTAAGCTCTCCTTAAAGCTGCCCCCATCTTTCTTCAACCAGACTCAGGCTTCCTTCTTTTCTCAGTGTCTAAGACAAGGCCAATGACTTCACCATGAGGTCTGTCTGAGCCTGCTGTGATTTCACCACTCTTAGAGAGGAGGTCAGTCAGTTACAGTATCATAGCACCTGACAGTGTTCAAAAGACTCCCTTTGACAGTGTTATTTTACTAGCTTAGGGAGCTGGGGAGTCACTAAGAAAGGTGGAGCACTGATACTGGTAATTTAATCCTTGTTTTTATTCAGTACACCTGGCTGCAAAAGGATAAAGCAACTATTATAAAAATAAGAATATATTAATCTAGCAAATGCTTTCCTCTTTGGTGAACAAAGAGGACCTAGAATTCAGCTGCTATATTAAGAGGCCAGTAATTGCTTTGGAGAATCACCACAGGATATTTCAGTGGCAGCACTAGAACAACTGAACAGAGACAGGAGTGTCACAGTTAATACTGTTAATATTTTCCCCAAAGATTCTGTTGGGATTGTGTTGTGCTTACAAAGATAAGTTTTGATCCCCAGTTTAAGCTGTGTTGCCTTGTACTTTTTTTTTTTTCTAGAAGCACAGATGTTCCTTGTGTTCTTACACACCTGTGCACAGGCTCAAAGCAAAAGCTTATGAACAAGCACTACATGCACAATTCACCATGGAGCAGGCAAAAATCAAAAAGCTGCCATTTTAACCTTGCTGTGGAGGGCTGATGTCTGCTCTCAATTTAGAAATGTTTACTTTGGAGAGGGAAAAAAATGAGCAGGAGTAGTATGATAGGCACGATTTTACATTACATGGAGTGTAGGACCTGGAAATGATACATTTAGGAAAACTGATTTTGCATTAGATAGAGCTGCTCTGCAAAATCCAGCCAGTTTAAGAGTAAGGATTATCTGCATGAGGAAGGAGGCTCAGCCTCTTTCAAGCACCATACATCAACAAGCTAAAATTCACAGTGCTTAATCTTGGAGAACATCTTATCTCCAGCCCCAGGGCAACTAGAATTGCAGAAAAAGGCTTAATGGAATTCTTATGTATGTGTCCATCTGCCATTGTTTTCTAGCAACTCAGCTATGAGGAGAAATACCAGGACAGGACGTAATTGAAAGTATCTTATTTGTGCACTGTTGTTTTTAATAAAAGACAATACAAAAGGTGAGAGAAGGAGAGGCCATTCATTAAGGCCTCGGACATATGGTTAAAGGTTACTTAAAAAGCATAGGAGAAAACAAAGAAATGTACATTACATTGCCCAGCCTTTACTGGGCAATGTAATCTGTTTTACAGCACTAGGAAAAAAGATAACCTAGATTTTTTGCAGTGTGTATCTCCTTGGATCAAAACATGCCCTGTGTACACAGGGAAGGACTCATGACTCACTCTTCATGCAAGCTTCAGTTCTGAAGGCCCTTTGTGCCAATACATGACTTTTTTAAAATGGAAAATTCTCAAAAAAATCATAGAATATCCTGAGTTGGAAGGGACCCCCACAAGGAATCACTGAGTCCAGCTCCTAGCCCTACACAGGACAGCCCTAAAATCACCCCATGTGCCTGAGAATATGCTCAAGAAAATATTATTCACGCACTGTGTTTGTATAAAAGGGTTTTTTTTTTTTCTCTCTAAAATGGCGAGACTGAGTGGAGACTTACCAGGGCCATTCTGTAACTTGCTTAAAAGCATTTAATCTGTGCTCAAGGCCCCATCCCAAGATAAGCAGGGGTCCCTTTATGGGAGCAAAGGCTAAGGCTGAAGCAGGGATGAAGTGAACAGAGAAACTCTGTATAGAGGACAAGAACTGCTAAAAGTTAATTGCAACTTGTAACACGAAACCAGTAAAATGAATATGCATGAGACTCTATGCATATGTATAAACAAGTGGGAGATAAAAAAGGTTCGGGAATTCTCAGAGGTGAGCATGTCCTTTGAAGGGGGAGCGATCCCCACATGCACCAGCGCTGCAATAAACATAGCGGCTTTACAACTTTTACAAAGTGGTGGAGTTTGATTCTTTCTCCACAATTCAATATGATCAAATGAAATGCGGGTGGGGGAAAAAAAAAATTGGGAAATTTAGTGACTACAATCAAATAGACCAGGATTTCGTGAATTGCAGTGGAAAGGGCTAAAATATGCCAAAACTAACCTGACAGGTGTTGCAAAACCAGGAGAGAAAAAATCAAGGAGGAAGAGAGAGAACATTGAGGGGAAGATATGAGTGAAATGGCATGGATCCTGAAAAAAAAAAAAATCTTTGCCAAGGTGAAATCAGTGCAAAGGCATGGGATGCCATGAAGTACAGGGAAATGGACTAAAGCATACTAAATAAAATGCAACTGAAAAGAAAAAAAAAAGAAAGAAAATTGTGATATTTCTTGACTACAAGACAATTATCTGGGAGGAAAATGAGGGGCAGTGAAAAGGAGCAAAACATGCCAAAACTAACCTCAGAGATTCTGCAAAATCAGGGGGAAAAATCAAAGAGGAAGACAGAACATTGATGGGAAGATATGAGTGAAATGGCATGGATACTGGGGGGAAAAAAAAAATCTTTGCCAAAGTGAAATCCATTCAAAGGCTTGGGATGCCATGAAGTGCAGGGCTATGGACGAAAGCACGCCAAATTGATCCCCATTGAAATCACAGGATTTCGTTTTCTTTCCTGAAAGTGCTTGGGATACATCCATCTGGACAAACATTGAACTTTTAGGCTGTAATCCTCTACAGGATTCACCACAGGGCTGGTGAATGAGTGAAGCCAATAACCATCCCAGGGGCTATTGTGACAGGACTTAAAACAAGATGGAGCTATCTGTATAAATCACAGATTGCATGTAGTGTGAAATACAGAAAATCTTGCTTTCAGCAAGGTTTCCCAAGGAGAGTGAGAGAAGCCACTCTGATGGAGAATTTTTAAACAAAACTGGACAAAATCAGAATTCCCCATCCCCGTTCCCCCCCCCCCCAAGTTGGGAACAGCCTTCAATTGGAGTTATTTGTCATCTGTGACTGACCTGGAAAACAGGTCATGTTATTATGGTTTTCCTCATTTCCAGCTACTGCACTGGACTATGAATTGCTGAAAGTACAGGAGAGTGTCTTTTCTAGCATTACTTTTACAGAGAAAATTTCTTTATTTACCGCGGGGCTATTGAAGAGCTGGATTAAAACCATCTATAAGCCGGCAAATGCCTCTTCTCTAATACCTGAAAAATTGTTTTGATATTGCTGCATCTTGCACTAGCTGCTTCATTATCAGAGGTAACAATATACCTCAAACCAATAGAATATTTTCAGTCATGACCACAATATAAACAATCTGCAAAATTATGAGAGAACATTGACTTAATTTTTTAAGTTTCAAGCAATCCTGTAGAACACCTTTGCCTTTTAGTATAACTACTATTTTCTTTTTAAATTTTAACTGACAGATATTGAGAGATGAAAGAAACACAATTCATATGTAGAACAAAAACAAAGGACTGGAAGGAAACGTGTTTTTGACATATGCATAGTTCTCAAACTTTAAAATATTAAAATTTAACCAGATTTAGCTACATCTATCACTTCCCAACAAAGCCACTCCTTGACAAAGAGTAATCACCATGTATTTGTTTCCATACCTCTCTTCTGAAGGCTGAAGACAAGACCTTTGCTGTAGCAGACCACAGGGCTGAGGATTTTGCAGGGAAAAACTTCTGCAGTCATGAGCCTGTCATTTAAAGGAAAGAGTTTTGGGCTTGAAAGAGCAAATTGCCATCATCTTCAGCAGTATCACCCTGGGAGTGGCCTCTGATAACCACATCCCAAGCTATTTTGGGTCTTCCAGGTAAAATCTGTCGCTATAGGACACGAGAAAGCACAACACAAGCTACCTGCCACTTTGTAAGGTAAAAGAGGAAGTTTATTTTCTGACTCCAACTTTTATACTTTTCCAAAGGTGACAGTGGATTGGAGAGTGAATGGGCCACCTCTCCAAAGACATTGGACAAACCACTAGTACATCAAGTTTCTCCACCTCCATGAAGGAATGCAAAACAATATGTTATTTACAGAAACTGTGTGGGAAAGTTTTCCAATAGAATGTAAACTCAGAAGGCTTTAGAAAAACTTAAGAATCAGGGCGACAAAAATCTATTAAAATCAATTTAGGGATAAGCAGAGGACAATGTAAACTGTTGGCTGGGGGTGGTCAGAATGCAGAGTTTGGGGTGGCATGCTGCCTTTATGGCAGATGGTTTCAGCACTGGTTTTTCAGATGAGGAGGAAACCCCAGTGAGAATTCCAGTATTTCCACAGGACAGATATTCATAGCCATGTTTGTATTGTAAAGTAAGTAAATTAATATGCCATTGGTATGAAAAATAGATGGAGAACAAGTCCCATCAGTCTGAAATTGCTCAGGATACAGGAAACCATAAAAAATATAGTGTTTATATTATAAAACACACACACACACACACACACACACACACACACACACACACACACACACACATATATATATATATATATATATATATAAACACTACATAGACACTACAGTGTATATATCTGGTACAAATATAAAATGTCAAGTCATTGCAGTCAATATTTTCTATTTCTTCTGTTTTCTTATCCAGTTAAGCAGTACTTCAGCTAACCAGTACTACTTGGCTTGTCAAGGCAGTGATTTAATCAATTAGCTTGCAAGTACCAAGCAAATTCCCCCAGGCATGGGGCACTTTGCTGGACAATCTGAGTCACTTCATTGTGCAATCCATGAACAGAAAACGTAGAGACACTTGTCAGTCAGTCAACAAATGCTCATACTTCGCACAGATTTAACATTCACCACAGGGAGTTGCATAAATAATAATTTCATTATTTGTATCTCTGGCAACTGATTGTGAATATAACTCACACCCTCAGTTACATAAACCCCTATACATTTTCTGATATCAGTGAAAGACACCAATCTAATTGAAAATCTCAAGTTCTTTGGAGTTCTTCCATTCTTTTAATAGTCACTCTTCACCTACCAAAGAATACATAAAATTTGAGGCCTTGCTATGACTTACTGCTATTTGGTTTCAGGATGCCTTTTTTTGATATTCTATCAGACAGCTGGATAAGTAAACTGATTCAGTTCAAACTACGCATAGCATGTTTCTATCCTGAACTGAACTTTCTGCAGTGTGACATTTGTAGAGTAGTTTTCCTTTCCATACACTTCTAATGTCTCCTGGTTGAATGTCTCTGTTGACACTGGTAAAAGAAAAAATACAGCTTCCATTTTACAAATATTAGAGGTATGGAATTATTTGGAGATTGATACCCTTGAAGAGCTGCAGCTACTCACAATCAAAAAAATTCTGTATGATACAGAGGCCAAGGACAGCCTTGGCTGCAGGGAGCATGAGACTGTCAGGTTTCAGATCCTGGGAGAAGCAACAAGACAAAGAACAGAATTACAACCATAGACTTCAGATGAGACCTGCTTGGCAGAATCTGTGGGAAGTTGCCCTGGAGAGCAGAGGCCCAGAAGAGCTGGCTAATCTTCAAGGGCAGCTGCCTCCAAGCATAAGAACTGCCATTAGAATGTTCAGACAGTTCAGCAACTGTGGCAGAAAGCCAGCATGGAGAACATGGAGCTCCTGAGTAAACCTAAACACAAAAAGGAAGCATGCAGAAGATGGAAACTACTTCCAGCTACTTGGAAAGAACACAAACATTTTGTTTGCACACACAGGAATGAAATCAGGAAAGCCATAGTTCAGTTGGAGCTGAAGGGCAACAGGAAAGGTTTCTGTAAGAACATTGACAGGAGGATGGGGGACTAGGACAAAAGACATAGAAAAGGCCACTTTTACTAGCAAGGTTTGTCCTCTGGCCTGCACCAGCAGGTGTGACCAAGGGGGCTGGAGAACATGAACTACAAGGAGAGTCTGAGAGATTAGATTGTTCACCTTGGAGAAGAGAGGGCTTGAAAGGCCATTTTGTTGCCTGCAAATTTTGCAAAGAGACTACAGAGAGAATGGACCCAGACTATTCTTGGAAGTGTGTAGTGAAAGTACAAAAGGACACAGAACATACTGGAACATAGGAAATACTGATTAGATACTACAAAGAAAAATTACTCTAAAAGTAGTTAAATAATGAAACAGATTGTTCTGAGAGATTGTGGAATCTTTGTCCTTGGAGGGGTTCAAGACTTGACTGGACACCATGCTCAATAACCTCATCTAATTAGTCCTGTTTTGAGCCAGTGTCTGAACTAGATGATATGATTGTATAATTACATAGCAATTCACTGGGATTTGTAGATCTGTTCCCACTCTCAGGGTCCAGTTACAAAGGAACAAATTGTGAAATTCATACAAAGGATAAGGTCTCATTCCATACACAAAGTTTTGCTAACACTAATGGAGATAAATTGAATTATGCAAGAACTGGTTTTTAATATTAAGAAAATGTGTTGTCTACAACTCTAGGGAAAAGAACCAGTCACTCCTTCTCATCAGGCTGCAGCAAGTTTCCAAAGCATCAATAATAATTAGCCACACTCACTGTACTTAAAAATAAGAGATTTGCTTTGTGAAAAGTGCTTAAGAATTTTTTAGTAAAACATTAAAAATAGGGATGGAAAGCCATGCTTCTAATGTTATTGCATCTACTCCCTATAAGACAACAAAAGGAAGACTACATTTTTCTCTTATTGTTCTTTAAAATAAAGGACATCAGCAGTGGCTGTGAGGGTCCTCCTCACTCTCCAGTTGATAGCAAATGTCAGTGCAAATAACCAGATGAACCTAATGAAAGAAAAACATATAAAATGTTTTTTAACCCACCTTCAATTCAGGTTGGTATATTCAGGTACAGTACTCTGGGACTTGTTTTCATGGTAAGACCCTCAGCAGGGCAGGAGGCAAGAGTGGCTTTGTGCCTCCTGAACTTTAGTTAACTTTAGAGTAGGAATGGGCTCTGATGTAGGTTCATACTACTCTCCAA